TAATCAAGAATGGACTGTGTTTTGGAGAGGAAGTTTATCTAAATAGGTATATATTCAGGAGAAAAGAAAGCATACAAAGTATAAAAATTAAAAGATATAAACATATTTCAATGGGAATTTCAGAGATACTTTCTTTTCTTCTCTTTCTCCTCTACCTCAAAAGTTACAAATACTTTTGAAGTAGCATGCACCTGGAGTCTTACAGCTGTGGGGTGGGCTTATGACAACAGAGCTATCTCGCTTTCCAACAAGGAAGTCAAAGATATTTTACATTTTTCCAATTTCAGTAAATGTAATACAGTCCTCTGCTTTTACGTGATACACATTTTCTACTCTTCTGAAATCCTTTGTAGCAGTTATTTCTGTCTGCAGACCTCACTGCTCCAGACTCTACTTGACAGAGTCCAGGTGTTGGTAAACGATCTTGGCTTCCGCCATAGCCTCCTTGGTGCTGCTCACTGCTCCTGCCACTTGGCCGGGTCTGGTCCTGCAGAACTCTCTGTGCTGCCACCTTGTAGGTCGCAGTTTGGAGTCTGAGTTTGTGCACAGGACAGGGGGGTATGGCCAACGGGCGGTGCCTCTTGAGACCACATTCTTCTGGTCCCAGTCAGCCCAAGGAACCAAGATGATGGCCCAAGTGCCTGGGCCCCTGCTTCCACATGGGAGATCTGGAAGAAGCTCGTGGCTCCTGGCTTCAGTCTGGCCAAGCCTTGGCTATTGTGGCCATTTGGGGAGTGAACCATCAGATGGAAGACTTTCCGTATCTCTCTATCTCTACTTCTCCCTCTCTGTAACTTGCCTTTCAAATAATCTTTTTTTTTTTTTTTAAATTTTTTTTAAGACAGAGTTAAGAGAGAGGTAGAAATAAAGAGAGAGGTCTTCCATCGGTGTTTTACTCCCCAGATGGCCACAGTGGCCGGAGCTGTACTGTTCCGAAGCCAGGAGCTTCATCCAGGTCTCCCATGTGGGTACAGGGGCCCAAGGACTTGGGCCATCTTCTACTGCTTTCCCAGGCCATAGCAGAGAGCTGGATGAGAAGAGGAGCAGCTGGGACTAGAACCGGCGCCCATATGGGATGCCAGCACTTCAGGCCAGGTCTTTAACCTGCTGCACATAGCACTGGGCCATCAAGTTAATAAATCTTTAAAAAAAAAAAAATTCTTAATAGACCTACATTAGGGGCAGGCACTGTAGTGCAGTAGGTTAATCCTCTGCCTGTGGCACCAGCATCCCATATGGGCGCTGGTTCTAGTCCCAGCTGCTCCGCTTCCAATCCAGCTCTCTGCCATGGCCTGGGAAAGCAGTAAAGAATGGCCCAAGTACTTGGGCCCCTGTACCCACATGGGAGACTGGGAGGAGGCTCCTGCCTCCTGGCTTCAGATTGGTGCAGCTCTAGCAGTTATTGCCATTTGGGGAGTGAACCAATGGAAGGAAGACCTCTCTCTCTCCCTCTCACTGTCTGTAACTCTACCTCTCAAAAAAAAAAAAAAAAAAAGAAAAGAAAAGAAAAGACATACATTAAAGTGGTAAAATAAGGGCATTATTAATTTTTAATTTTAAAAGATTTTATTTATTTATTTGAGAGAGAGAGCCGCAGACAGAAGGAGAGGCAGACAGAAAGGTCTTCCTTCCGCTGGTTCAATCCCCAAATGGCCACAATGGCCAGAGCTGGGCCAATCTGAAGCCAGGAGCCAGGAGCTTCCTCTGGGTCTCCCACGTGGGTGCAGGGATCCAAGGACTTGGGCCATTCTCTGCTGCTTTCCCTGGCCATAGCACAGAGCTAGATAGGGAAAGGAGCAGCCAGAACATGAACCAGTGCCCATATGGGATGCCAGCACCATAAGCAAAAGCCTAGCCCACTATGCCACAGCGTCAGCCCCTAATGCAATCTTCTGACCTCATTCCAGTTTTGCTGTTCATCTTACTAAGTTTTTTAAAAGATTTATTTATTTATTTATTTGAGAGGCAGAGTTACATAGAGAGGGAAAGGTAGAGAGAGATTTTCCATCTGCTGGTTCATTCTCCAAATGGCCGCAATGGCTGGAGCTCAGCAGATCTGAAGCCAGGAGCCACGGGCTTCTTCTGGATCTCCCAGGTGGGTGCAGCAGCCCAAGCATGTGTGCCATCTTCCACTGCTTTCTCAGACCGTTAACAGGGAGCTGGATTGGAAGAGAAGCAGCTGGGACACGAACTGGTGCCCATATGGGAGTCAGGCTCCACGTGTGGAGACAACCTACTTCTCACAGCGCCTACTAATGTTCTTTATAGTAACAAAAGAAATTTCTTGTTTTAGATCCAATTTATGGCTCCATATTGCATATTTTTTAATGATTTTATTTGAAAGGCAGAGTGACAGAACGGGAGTTCACTCCTCGAATGGCCACTAGAGTATCTTCAGTTGCCTTCCCAGAGGCATTACCTGGATGCTGTATTGGAAGCGGGACAAGTGGGATTTGAACCAGCACTCTGAAGCTGGTGTTGCAGGCAGTGGCTTAACCAGCTGTGCCCTCATGCCAGATCTTTCCTGCACCATTTTTTTTTAAAGATTTTATTTATTTGAGAGGTAGAACTATAGACAATGAGACGGAGAGACAGAAAGTTCCTCCCTGTTGGTTCACTCCCCAAATGGCTGCAGTGGCCGGAGCTGCACCAATCCAAAGCCAGGAGCCAGGTGCTTCTTCCCAGTCTCCCACATGGGTGCAGAGGCTCAAGCACATGGGCCATCCTCCACTGCCCTTCCAGGCCACAGCAGAGAGCCAGATTGGAATAGGAGCTGGGACTAGAACTGGTGCCCATATGAGATGCTGGCATTGCAGGCAGAGGATTAGCCTACTGTGCCATTTTATGTACCCACCACGAGAGTGCAAAGGTGCACTCTGTCTTCAACACTTGTTGTTTTCTGATTTTTTAAAAGATAATAGCTATCGTAGTGGATGTGAGGTGATCTTTTACTAGTTTTGACATGTTTCCCTATTGCTCTGTGATGTTGAATATATTTTCATGTGCTTGCTGGCCATTTGTATTTGTTCTTTAGAGAAATGTTATTCAAGTCCTTTTGCTCCTTTTTGAATCCAATGGTTTGTTTTTGTTGTTGACTTTTAGTAGTGCTGTATATATTCTAAATGCTACTGTCTCATCAAATATGTAGTTTACAGATACTTTCTCCCATCCTTTGGGTTGCCTTTTTACTCTATTGATAATGTTTTGACTACATGCCAACCTTTTTTTAAAATTTATTTTCAGCCGGCACCGCGGCTCACTAGGCTAATCCTCCGCCTTGCGGCACCGGCACACCGGGTTCTAGTCCCGGTCGGGGCGCCAGATTCTGTCCCGGTTGCCCCTCTTCCAGGCCAGCTCTCTGCTGTGGCCAGGGAGTGCAGTGGAGGATGGCCCAAGTGCTTGGGCCCTGCACCCCATGGGAGACCAGGATAAGTACCTGGCTCCTGCCACCGGATCAGCGCGGTGCACCGGCCGCGGTGGCCATTGGAGGGTGAACCAACAGCAAAGGAAGGCCTTTCTCTCTGTCTCTCTCTCTCACTGTCCACTCTGCCTGTCAAAAAATTTAAAAAAAAAAATTTATGTTCACATTATTTGAAAAGCATAGAGGTGAGATAGGAGGAGACAGATAAACAGAGATCTTCCATCCACTGGTTGACTCTTAAAATGCCAACAACAGCCAGGGTTGGGTTACTCTGAAGCTGATATCCTAGAACTTTGTCTGGGTCTCCACATGGGTGACAAGGGCCCCATACACTTTGGCCATCATTGCTGCCTTCCCAAGTTATGCACTGGAAGAAAACTCATTCAGAAGTGGAGCATTGTGACCCAGACTAGGTATTCTGATATGAGATGTGGACATGCTAACTGGGGGCTTCACTCTGCCAAATGACTGCCCCCATAGGAATTTTTAATTTTCATAGTCCAATTTTTTTATATTGCCTATACCTTTGGTTTCATATTCAGTAAGCCATTGCCTAATCCAACATTGTATGGTGTTTGCCCTGTTTTTTCCCTCACAAGTTTTATAATTTCAGTTTGTAAGTTTAGGTTTTTGATCCTCAGTTTAGAATTTCTAGGAAATCAATTAAAAAGATAGGACGACAGAGAAAAGATAGAAATAGAGAGAAAGTTCTCCCATTTACTGGTTTACTCCCCAAATTCCCACAAGGACCAGGGCTAGGGCAGGCCAAAGCCTGAAGCTAGGAACTCCCAGGGACTCATGCAATTGGGGCATCTTCTGCTGCTTTCCTAAACTCATTAGCAAGGAGCTGTGGGACTTGAACCTGCACCCTGATAAATGGGGTGCTGGCGTCACAGACTGATTTAGCCCACTGTACCACAGTGCCACCTGCAGTAGTTGATTTTAGAAGTTTCCAATTGGTGCCTGCATTGTGGCACAACAGATAAGGCTCCTGTTGCTATACTGGCATCCCATATTGGAGTGTTAGTTTGAGTCCTGGCTCCTTTGTTTCTGATCTAGCTTCCTTCTAATTTAAGTGAGAAGGTAGTACATGATGTCTCAAGTGTTGCCACCTATGTGGGAGACCTGGATGAAGTTCTTGATTCTGGCTTTGGGCTGGCCTAGACCTGGATGTTGTGGACATTTCAGGAGTGATCCAGCATATGGAAGATAGCTCTTTCTCTCTGTCTCATCTCTGTGTATGTCTGTCTTTCCCCCTCTCTGTCATTCTTTATTTCAAACAAATAAATAGATGTTAAAAGAGAAAGACACAGAAGGTTTTATAACATAGCCTGCCTATGTAAAGCTATCAGATATCACCAGTACACTAGCAGAAATTATCTTTAATAGCTTTTGAATTCACTATCTTGGTAGGTAGTTGTGTCAGCAGGGAACAACAAATAGGGTGCCCTGGATGGAAATGTCGGTGCTGTTGGGAACAATAATAATGTTTTGGTGATGAGTAAGGATGGAGAATTTGATAGAACCCTAATTGTTTAGGATATAAGTATTATTTTATCGTGCAATTTTTGTTTTTAAGGATTTGGACGTGGTAGAGGGAGAGGGGCAGGAAGGTTCTCAACCCAAGCCATGGGGTAAGTCACAGCTGTCATATTTTTGTAGTTCATTTCTTCCCTAGTTGTTACTTTATTTTTCCTTCCTCTGCCTTGTCAATTATCCTGATGAGTCAAAATTATTAACAAATCACATAGTACAAGAATGGCCTTTAGAGTAGGATTTCTAGCCCTTGGCACTAGAGACACTTTAGCTTGGATAATACTTTATTGGGGTAATGGAGTACATAGGATATTTATCAAGGTCTCTTCTCTATTAAATGCCAGCAGCACCTCTCCTGAGGTTGTGACAATCAAAATGTCTATAGACATTGCCACATGTTCTTTGGGAGGAAGGTGTGTAGTCATCCCTAGCTGAAAACCACTGCCCTGTAGGAGCCATGTTGGTAAATCCCACAATTGTCTCTGAATGCTTCATAAATTGAATGCTTATTCATGTTATTCTACCCAAATTTGAATAGTGAAGTATGAGCATAGTAAATAGACACTATAATAAAACCATATTTGTTGTTTCTGGGTTCTCTCTCTTTTCCCTCTATTTTTCTTTCAGATTTATTTGTTTCAAATGCAGAGGGATGGGTGGTGGGGGTATAGATCTTCCATCCACTGGTTTACTCCCAAAATGGCTTCAACAGCTGGGGCTTGGCCAGGATGAATCCTGGTACTCCATCCTGGTTTCCCACACCAGTGGCAGGGGCCCAGGTATCTGGCCCATCATTTGCTTCCCTCCCAAGAACATTAGCAAGAAGCTGGATCAGAAGTAGAACAGCTGGGACTTCATATGGCATTCAGGTATGGGATGCCTGTTGTGCCACAATACCAGCTGCTCCAGAAGCATTAGCTCCCACAGGGTTGTTAAAGTCTTATGGAAGCCATATGTAGATGACAGTCAAGGAAGTAAGGGAATTGACTCAAGCAGTAGCCCTTTGTCACTGTTGTCACTGCTGTCGGTGCCTATGGCTGTGGTCCCTCTTTTGTCTTCTCTGTTTTCTGCCTAAACTTCCTGTGGAAAATGAGGAGATGAAAACCCATGGAGCACTTAAACATTTGCCTACCTTGAGGACTTTAAATGATTTTTCTCTTTAGTTTTTAAAATGAAAATATTAAAGGTAGTAATCATTTTGGACTGTGTTAGATGTGTGAATCATGATTCCTTATGGATATTCAGTTTAAAATTTTGATTAAAAAAAAGAGGTGCTGAACAAAGACTTTTCTTATTTTTAACTGATGTTTCTATATTTAAAGAAGTACATAGTTCAGATGTAAAAAGTTTAAAGCCAGACTTGATTTCTGATGTGTAAATAGAAGACCTGTTGTTTATTTATGCCTTAGTTTTCAGTGGAACTTTCCATTAGAGCCCTTATTGTGCCTGAAGCCTCTGCGTCCTCCTGCTTGCATTATGATGGAGAGGACAGGTTTTAGGACAAAGGGCTATTATAAAAGATATATGGAAGATCCCCAATTATCTTTTGTTTAATAGAAGATCTGTATCCCAATGGATACAAGAATTAGCTATACTTAAATAGGAGGAGTAGAAAGGGTAGTCCTTTATACTGTCTGTAAGAAGAACTGGGCTCTTTTGGGGAATGATCATATATACTCATTTTTGTGGCTTTGGTGCTTGCTTGATTTGCCTTTATTTTTTCTTTATTTCAAACTTAAGGACTTTTAATCCTGCGGACTATTCGGATTCCACATCTTCAGATGGGTGTGGAACAAAGCTAGTGATTTGGGAAGCTGCTCAGAATGGTGCAAATGAGGGAAGTGGTAAGTGTTCTAGATTTGCTATAGGTGGGTTTTAAATATTTGAGCTCTTAAGAGTTTTAATTTATTGATTTTTTTTTAAACTTGTTTATTTGAAAGGCAGAGTTACAAAGAGAGGGAAGAGACAGAGAGAGAGCTTCCATCCATTGGTTCAATCCCCAAATGGCCACAATGGCTGGAGTTGGGCCAGACTGAATCCAGGAGCTTCCTCTAGGTATCCCACTTGGGTATTAGGGACCCAAGCACTTGGGCCTTCTTCCCCTGCTTTCCCAGGCTATCAGCAGGGAGCTGGTCTGGAGTAGAGCATTTGGAATTCGAACTGGTGCCTGTGCTGCAGGTGATGGCTTAACTCCCTGTGCCACAAGACCAGCCCCAAGAGTTTTATGTTCTGGGGCCGGTGCTATGGTGTGGCAGGTAAAACCACCATCTGCAGTACTGACATCCCATATGGGCACTGGTCCTGGTCCTGGCTTCTCTACTTCTGATTCAGCTCTCCCTGCTTATGGCCTGGGAAAGCAGTGGAAGATGGCTTAAGTGTTTGGGCCTCTGCACCTGCATGGGAGACCTGGAAGAAGCTCCTGGCTTCAGATCAGCCCAACATGGGCCATCGTGACCATTTGAGGACTGTACCAGCAGATGGAAGACCTCTCTGTCTTTGTCTCTCTCTGCTTCTGCCTGTCTGTAACTGCCTTTCAAATAAATTAAATAAATCTTTTAAAAAAAGAGTTTTATGTTCTTATGCAAAGATAGAACTCTAAGTGTGCTAATGGAGCTGAATGAAAAATTGGCCACTCTGCTACCTCTGAGACTAGTCCTTGTTGGTTCTTACCTCTAGAATTTCTCACATCAAAATTTCATTGATGATGTGGAATGTGATTTTTCCCTTCCATACTTTGTGTAAGTCAGTACTTAAGCCACACTCCACTCCAGTATGTCAGATATACAGGAATTCTTAGAAGAATTTTTACTGAAAGTATTCAGCCATTTCCATGGTGAACACTAAAATTTGGGGCAATATTGCTGGTTATTGTACATCCCTATCTTTTGGATTATTTTCTGAAATTCATTGATAAATCAGATGATTTACTCATGAAAGTAAGCAAGCTGTTAAAGTCATATTTATAAGAACATAACTTAAGCCTTAATAAAATGCAGCTCAATGGGTAAAAATATAAATTATGAAAAAGCAACACTCATATAACATCAGCCATGACAAAAAATAGATAATAGCATGATCCTAGAAGCTCAATTAATTAGTGAATTAGGAATATAGATACTGTAGAGAGGATCAACAGAAATCAAAAGTAGGAATACTGATAAACTACTTGGGAGACTTACCAAAGGAAGGTAAAGAAGCATAAGTGGGTTGAGAAAAATCACGTGATATTAGAAGGTTATATGTTACGTCAATAAGTTTTTTGCCAACAAATTTAAAATGACAGATTGAGCTCATTCTTGTAAATCTTAAAAACCTAAGTATTGGAACATAAAATCTAGTAAGACAGAAAATTGCTTATATCACAACACATGAAATTTATACTAGATATTTCTTAAAAATCAATTTGTACATATAAATTCAGGAGAATGGCAAAGATGGCTTGACACATAACCTGGTGCAAAAGTGCTCATAGCATAATTTATAATTATCAAAAAATCAAGGGGACAAGACAGCATGGCCCAGTAGTTTGAGCTGCTGCTTAGGATGACTTCATCCCATATCTCAGTACGTGAGATCAAGGCTCACCTCTGCTTTTAATGTAGCTTCCTTCTAATGCAATGAGGAGGCAGCAAATGATGGCCCAAGTATTTGAGTTCCTGTCTACCACATGGAAGACCCAGATGGAGCTCCCAACTCCTGGCTTTGGCCTGGCCCAGCTTTGGCTGTTGCAGACAGTTGAGGGGTAACCAGTAGATAGAAGATATCTCTTTGTTTTGGTCCCTCTGCCTTTCAAGTAAACAAATTAACTGATCTTACAGAAGAAAAAAAAAAAAAAAAGTAGAAGCAACCCAAGTGTCCATCAGTGAATGAATGATTAGGAAAATGTAAAATGTCTATGTTGGGGAGTATTGGAGAGCCTCAAATGCAATGAAGAGATGCTACAATATGGATAATACTTAAAAACATGCAGAGTTAAGAAGGCAGTCAGAAAATTTTATATTTTGTATTTTGTAATTCTGTTTATTTAGCTGTTCAGTTTAGGCAAATCCCTAGAAACAGAAAATAGATTGTTGATTGCCTAGTGCTGGAATCTCTTGGTAATGAGGAATGGCAGCTAATGGGTATAGTGTTTATTCTTGGAGATGGAGATATTCTTGGGTTAGATGGTGGTGATGACTGCACAAATTGTAAATAGTCATACCAAAAATTATTCATTTTTCTATTTTGAAAGACTGAATTTCATGTTTAGTATATTTATTAAAAATGTCTTATTCACCCTTTTAGTGAAGTTAAGTAGAAAACTTACATAATCATTTTATCAAGGAAAAGAATTTTGATACCATTTTTATTTTGTTTGCTTGTTAAACCCTGGCACTTAGAAATATAGAAACATTTCCTTGAGCAGATGAAGGTTATCTGTAAAATTTATAGCTAATATTATAGTCATTGATGAAATAGTAAATCTTTTTCCTCTAGAACAAGATCAAGGTGCTTATTGCCACTGTTATTGTTCACCATTATACTGTAGGTCCTAACCAGTGCAATAAGGAAAATACAGACTTCATCAGGGTTAGAAACAGACTAAAACGCCACTCATTTGTTGTGATAAAGGAGATTTTTAAAAGATGCTTACTAGATATATGTTTCATGAATAGTTGTATTTCTGTAATCTACCAATGATCAAAGAATGGAAAAATATGATAGTAGCTTCGTAAACATCATGCATAGGACTAACTAATGATAAATACATTTCATGGTCTTCTACCTAGAACAATATGAAGCAGTATTGTTAATAAAGAAGATACGACGGAGAGATATATGATTTTATTGTTGTTCCGAAGTTTAAGCTTTACTGAATTATTCTTAGTATTTATTATATTAATCCATGGTAGCTTATTCCATGTCAACTGATGGTATATTGAAATAATTGATAAATAAAATTCACCCCTTTTTATGGGCATAAGTGGATACATTCTAACAAATGTATCTAGGATTTTTTTTTTTTTTTTTTTTTTTTTTTTTTTGACAGGCAGAGTGGACAGTGAGAGAGAGAAACAGAGAGAAAGGTCTTCCTTTGCCGTTGGTTCACCCTCCAATGGCCACCGCGGCTGCCGCGCTGCGGCCGGCGCACCGCGCTGATCCGATGGCAGGAGCCAGGAGTCAGGTGCTTTTTCCTGGTCTCCCATGGGGTGCAGGGCCCAAGCACCTGGGCCATCCTCCACTGCACTCCCTGGCCACAGCAGAGGGCTGGCCTGGAAGAGGGGCAACCGGGACAGAATCCGGCGCCCCGACCGGGACTAGAACCCGGTGTGCCGGCGCCGCAAGGCGGAGGATTAGCCTAGTGAGCCGCGGCGCCGGCCTTATCTAGGATTTTAACTACCATTAAAATTGAGATATCAGAGTAGGTATTTGGCCTAGTGGTTAAGACATCTTTGGGACACTGATATATCAGAGAGCCTAGATTTGAGTCCTGGCTCCAATCCCAGTTCCAGCTTCCTGTTTCTCTTGGGTGGCAATAAGTGTTGCCTCAAGTAGTTGGGTCTCTGCTACCAACATGAGTGATGTGAATTGAGTTCATGGCTCCTGTCTTCAGCCTTGTATAGCTTTGGTTGTGAATTTTTTCAGGGATGAACCAGGGAATGGGAGATTTCTCTCTCTGTCCATTAGTTTGTCTCTCTGCTTTTCAAATAAAAATAAATAGGATCAAGATATCAATTTTGCGTCCTAATTAACTGACTGCCCATGGAAAGTATTTGGGGTTAAGAAAGAGAAAAGAAGAAAGGGGAGAGAGAGAACAAATGAGAGAAAAGGGAGGGAGGGAGGGAAAATCCCTTAGAATTGTATTTAAACTTTTGAATCTGCAAAAACCTAACTATAAATAAAAAAAAAAAAAAAAGAAAGGAAAATATTTGGGAAAGAATGCATCTGTACAGCCTACTTTTCACCCTCTTCTCATGATTCCCTAAACAATGCAGTATAACAGCCGTTAACATTGTTCTATATGCTCTAGAGTTGGTTTAAAGTATATGGGAAGATGTACATAGTTTATATACAAATGCTGTTCATTTGATATGAGGGGTGTTAGCATCCACAGGTTTTGGTATCTCTTAGGGTCCTGGAACCAGTCTCCATCAAATAGTTAAGGATGAACTGTAGTTTAGCAATAAACACAAGCCCGTGAAGCTGATTGATTTTGATAAAGGTTATGAAGCAATTAAATATATATATAATAATGTACTCAAAAGAGTAACTCCAAGTCGGTAATAAATCTACATGTGAAACCTAAAAGTCCACTTCACAAAGAAAATATATTGGCAAGGTCTGTTGACTTTAGCTTAGGCGTAATTTTCTTATTTATGTTCCCTAAAGCATGAGTCACAAAAGAAAATTTGACAAAGTATACTTTATAAAAATTCTGCTCTTTTGAAGCAAATAATGAAAAGGCAAGCCATACTGTACGAGAAAATATTGTAAACCCATACTTGACAGAGTATTTGTATATAGAATATATAAAGAAGCCTCAAAACTTAGCAGTAAGCAAACAACCTCCAGAACGTTTGTAAAAACTGAGTAGTAAAATGGGAAAGGTCTGCGAATGGGTAATTGTAATGGTAGCACAAAATAGTGTGTGTACTTACTACTGCTGAGTGGTAAATTTTAAATATTCTGTTTTTTTTTTTTTTTTAACTATGATTTTTAAAAAATGGAACCAGCATTGTAAGCTTATCAGTGTCCTGGGTTTTAGTGTTTAGTGTTCTACTATAATTACTGGAAATGTTGTCATTGGGACTCTGGGTGAAGGGTAGCTTCAAAATAAAATGTTCACTAGAAATGAGGAAAGGAATAGAACAGATGGTTCATGAAAGAAGATGGTATAGAGGGCACGTAAGCCTACACAAATAGACTTCTCATCTTTAGTAACCAGAGAAATACAAATGAAAACCACAGTTATCTACCATTCATCTATTAAAGTGGATATAGGCCGGCGCCGCGGCTCACTAGGCTAATCCTCCGCCTAGCGGCGCCGGCACACCGGGTTCTAGTCCCGGTCGGGGCGCCGGATTCTGTCCCGGTTGCCCCTCTTCCAGGCCAGCTCTCTGCTGTGGCCAGGGAGTGCAGTGGAGGATGGCCCAGGTGCTTGGGCCCTGCACCCCATGGGAGACCAGGAAAAGCACCTGACTCCTGGCTCCTGCCATCGGATCAGCGCGGTGCGCCGGCCGCAGCGCGCCGGCCGCGGCGGCCATTGGAGGGTGAACCAACGGCAAAGGAAGACCTTTCTCTCTGTCTCTCTCTCTCACTGTCCACTCTGCCTGTCAAAAAAATAAAATAAAAAAATAAATAAATAAATAAATAAAGTGGATATAAAAGAAAAGTGATAATGCCATGTGCTAATGAAGATGGCCAAATAACTGGAATTCTTAGCCATTTCTGATGGAAAGCATACGGTTATCATATAATGTGACAATCCCAAACATAGGTTTTTTAAGAAAGTAGAATGAAAACACATCCAAGCAAAAATATGTAAGTAATGTTTATACATCAAGTATTAGAACAGAATGTTGAATTAAACTCTTATTAGCTATTTTTCGTTTATATTCTCTCTTCCCTTTATCTCCCATCACCTATCCCTCCTTAATTCTCACTTATCGTAACAAATTCTTGCCAGTATGCGTTTAGATAAGCAAGATGAGTTTGTTGGAAAATACAGTTAAGGGTTTCATTAGCTGGTGGACTGCTGCAGTTTCTCTGCAGTGATACTGTATTGCTGTAAAGACAGAGGTCTGAGCCCAGCATGCAACCTTTCAAGCTCAGAAAGCTGACTGTTGAATCTAGTAAACAACGGAACTAAATTAGTCAAACTGCTAGAAATTTGCTATAATAAAAATAGTTAAGGAGCTTAGTAAACATGGGAATGATAGTGAGTGTGGTTGATAGAACTGTGTTCAGGAGCCATCGGGCACGATTCAGTGCCTGAGTCACAGTGGCCTGTGACTATAAGGACCGCAGTGAGATTCTCTGCCCTTGCAGTACTGTAGTTCCCACCCTCGACAGAGGGTACGTTCTGTAACCCTGGTGGGGATGCCTGCAACTGTAGGTAGTTCCAAACTGCAGATATACTGTGTTTTTCCCTATACATACATACATTTATATATGCATACATATTGTAAGGGTTGACTTATATATTAGGCACAGTAAATGATGAACATTAATAACCAATAATAAAATAGAGCAATTATAACAACATACTGTAATAAGGTTATGTAATAGGGTTATGCTAATTACTGGCCAGTTTCTCTTCTGAGGAATACTTTCATTGTTGTATGATAAAACCTTGCATTTTACATTGATCTACAGAACTGGCATCAAATGATCACAGCGTAGCTCAGGATCTGCCAAACAAAGGTTCTTACAAACTCAAAGGTATGAATGTTTTATTTTAAAATCTAACAATATGTTTAAAATGTCTTCATTTTTTATATATAAAAGTTCATCTGGGGGCCAGCATCACAATGTAGCCGGTAAAGCTGCTGCCTCCAATCCTGGCATCCCACTTGGCCACCAGTACATGTTCAGGTTGCTTTGCTTCCTATCCAGCTCCCTGCTGATGGCTTAGGAAAAGCAGTGTAAGATGACTCAAGTGTTTGGGCTCCTGTACCCACGTGGGAGATCCAGATGAAACTGTTGGCTCCTGGCTTCCACCTGGCGGTTGTGGCTGTTTATGGAATGTTCCACTGGATGGAAGGTCTTGCTTTGTAATTCTGACTTCCAAAATAAATAAATCCTTTAAAAAATAACATTAGATATTTATAATATATATTTTTATAACAATTTCATAAAAATTTTTAGCTTCTGATTATTGACTTTTTTCTTTTGCTCTTTCAATTTTTTTCGTTTCTTTTGAGAGAGTGTGTCCTAATATGCTGAGTCACTTACTAAATGCTAACAACTGACAAAAGTGGGCAAAGCCAGAACCAGGAGGCCGAACTCAATTCAGGTCTCCCACATGGGTAGTAGGACCCGTTACTTCAGCTGTCATCATTGCTCCCCAGGATTGGCACAGGCAGGAAAGTGAAGTCTGGGTTCTGAGCTGAAAAGTGAACCTAGGCAAACTCAGAGGAAAGCAGTCTTTATTGTTGCTAGTCCGAACACCTGCCCCCATTATTTAATTTTGAAGAAGTTGATTATGTTATTAAGGTGATATCCAGGAAACTAGACCTTGTCACTTGCCACCTTTTCATCTCTCCCCTCTCCACACAGTTTTTGTTTTTAAACTATTTATTCATTTGAAAGAGTTGCAGAAAGAGGAGGTGGATTAGAGAGAGTGATCTTCCATCCACTGGTACACTTCCCAGATGGCCACAACAGCCAGGGGGGCTGATCCAGGCCAAAGGCAGGAACCAGTAACTTCTTCCAGGTCTCCTACATGGGTGACAGGGCCCCAAAGTACTTGGGCTATCTTTTGCTGCCTTCACAGGCATATAAGCAGGGAGCTGGATCTAAAATGGACAGCTGGGACTAGAACCCACTTGCCACAACACCAGCCTCCAACACAGACTTTTTGAAGAAAGAAATGGGAGTTTGCTTATCAATTGCCTGTTTTCTTCCAATGATGAGATAAAAACCATTCAGTATCCCAATTTCTCTAGATGGTTGTGGTTAATATTTTGATGTATTTCCCTTTAAAACCATTTGGGTTTGTTTCTTCATGTGAGCTTTAAACTAAGGGGCCTGACCATACACAAGATCTAAAAAGCATATGTTAGCGTATTTGGTTACCAGTAATTTTCTTCTTAGGCACTTAAATATTTTGTGGATGCTTTTTGTTTAAGAAGTATTACAGCCCATCCTGTATACCTGCTTTTTGAGACAGTATGGCAGTCTTGATGGGAGCAGGAGTAATGTTAAACTTTCAGAACCTTTGAGGGAACCATCTTGTAAAGCTACTCTTTTAAGAATCCTTCTCTAAATTTGATAATTCTGTAGTCTGCCTGAAATAGGGTCTTGTTTTAATGGTATATATCATCAATAGAGTATTTTTATGGTATGTCTGTACTTTATTATTCACGGCAGAATTGCTTGACTATGATGTCCATTGAAAGAAAATCAATTTGAGACACTTATGTTGTGTAGGTATTTCTGACCGAGTTGCATTGGAAAATATTACTGAATATATTGAGAATTCATCAAGAATTTCATATTTGTTGAGTTGTTAGCTAAATTATTGAGATGCATGATACTTTTTCTGGCATAACATAGAATTCAGAATCATTTAGAGGAAGACAGTATTTGATTTTGTGCTATGAACTTTGATTGTTGTCATTTCCTAGCAGGGGCCTGGAAGAATTCTGTGGAGGAATGGACAACAGAAGACTGGAACGAAGATGTAAGTGTCTGGCCTTGGATCAGATGCATCCCTTTCATAAAATGATTTTTTGAAAAATCCTTTATTTGTGAGTCTGGTTTATTACTCAGTTCTTTCCAAGAGCTGGCTGGGCTGGGCCAGACAAGCAGGTAGCCAGGAATTCAATTCAGGTCTCCCACATAGATGTTAGGATCCAAATACTTGGGCTGTCACCTGCTGCCTCCACAGCATGTGCATTAGCAAGGAAATTGGATTGGAGGCAGAGACAAGACTGTTCTAGGCATTCAGATGTGGGATGTGGATATCTTAAGGTGTGTCTTCACTGTAGTGCCAGACAGCCGCTCCCACACTATCTTTAAGTGTCTTGTGTTAGAATATGTGCTGCGATTTTGTTTGGGTCCCAGAAAGGGAATAGTTCTTGGTATAAGGCTTTATATCTTCATGTCTGTCAAGGTCAGCAGACAGGTTAGAAAATCAGGGGGTCAGAATATAAAAGACTTATATTCAAATTCTTTTTTAAAATTTTTTATTATTTGAAGGGCAGAGTTATATAGAGAGGTGGAGAGGCAGAGAGAGAGAGAGAGAGAGAGAGAGAGATCTTCCACCTGCTGGTTCAGTCTCCAAATGGCTACAGTGGCTGGGGCTCGGCCAGCCTGAAGCCTGAAGCCTGAAGCTTTTTCCAGGTCTCCATGTTGTGTGCAGGGGCCCAACCACTTGGGAAATTCTCCACTACTTTCCCAGGAGCATTGGCAGGTTGCTGAATAGGAAGTAGAGCAGCTGGGTTTCAAACCAGCACCCATATGGGATGGCAGTGTCACAGGTAGGGGCTCAACCTACTTTGACACAATGCCGGCCACCAAATTTAAGTGTCCTGACTTTGGAGAAGCCATCTTTCCATACTGAGCCTCCTGGATTTCATTTATGTAATGAGTATTGTCATAGCTGTCCTGCCTTCATAAGACTTTTTCTTTTATCTTCCCGTTAAAATCTGGTAAATGCAATACACATGTGCATACTCACAGATACTAATATTCTGTTAGAATATGTATTTTCTGAAAAAAGCATGTTTATTGAGAATTAATAAAAATTTTAAAATTTTCTGAGATTATGCTGATTGGCAGGAGAATAATCTAAAATGCTAATCCTAGATTTCTTGTAGACCTTAGAGCAATAACTGTTGTCTCCCTAACCCTTTACTTTTTAAAGTAGGGTTATTTATTTGAAAGGGAAAGCTTCAGAGAGACCTTTTCCTTCTGCTGATTCTCTCCCCAAATGGTTGCAACAAGCTAGGCCTATGCCAGTCTGAAGCTGGGTGCCTGGAACTCTATTCAGGTCTCCCACCCTCCCAAGTGGGTGGCAGAGGCCCAGCCGCTTGGGCTCCCCCCTGCTGCCTTCCCAGGTGCGTTAGCTGGGAGTTGGATTGGAAGTAGCACAGCCACAACTTGAACCCAATATGAGATGCTGGTTATACAAATGAAGGCTCAACTTGAGGTACTCCAATACGGGCCCCAGAAAAGAAATTTAAGTGTTGATTAATGAAATGCAAAAGTTACTGTCTTTTTAAGAAGAAAATGTCTATTTGACCATTTCAAACTTCTCAGTTCCCTTTTGTCATTTTTGGTAGCATTTGTGCTGTTTTGTTTGTTTGTTTTTTTTTCTGCTGTTATTTTGTGTAATGACAGAGGAGTGAGACTGGGACTTGAACCTTGATCTGACTTCATTTTGTGGCATCGCTTCTAATAATTGTCATCATTTCCCTCAGAAGTCATTCTTGTAGGATTGTCAATCTAAAATTTCCTTCACCTGAAGAAAGTTTGCTTGTATATTTAATTCGTTTTAGAACACCTTTTGAATGAACTGAATGAACATGATGACTAGAAATTGTCAGGAATTCAAGTTATTTGGAGTTTTATATAGAGTAACATTAACTTTTTTTTCTACCTTTCTTGCAGCTTTCTGAAACAAAGGTCTTCACTTCCTCATCTGTTCCAGGAGAGAATCAGGCCACACCTGGGCAAAGGTAAACAGTTTCCAGCATCTTTGTTTTTCAAGCCCTGATTGAAATTTTTTGCTTAGGATAAGTATCTTCAATTCTAGAACTTTTTTTCTGTTTTTGTCCCATTTCTTGTAAGTGTAACCTATAATTACCCTCACCTGATGAGCTGACAGAGCTTCAGTCACAACTTTCCTTAGTGGTTGTATCCACAGGAATTAAATTAACAGCTCTTATATTGATTTTTTTTTTTTTTTTTTTTTTTTTTTTTTTTTTTTTTTTTTTGCTGCGGCCGGCGCACCGCGCTGATCCGATGGCAGGAGCCAGGAGCCAGGTGCTTTTCCTGGTCTCCCATGGGGTGCAGGGCCCAAGCACCTGGGCCATCCTCCACTGCACTCCCTGGCCACAGCAGAGGGCTGGCCTGGAAGAGGGGCAACCGGGACAGAATCCGGCGCCCCGACCGGGACTAGAACCCGGTGTGCCGGCGCCGCTAGGCGGAGGATTAGCCTAGTGAGCTGCGGCGCCGGCCGTCTTATGTTGATTTTTCACTTGTGGTAGAGGTTATGTTTACAAAAATGAAATGTGTAAGCATTTAAAAGATTTAACTCTTGGGGCCAGTGCTGTGGCATAGCAGGTAGGGCCTCAAGCCTGCAGTGCCGGCATCCCATATGGGCGCTGGTTTGAATCCCAACTGGTCTACTTCTTTTTTTTTTTTTTTTGACAGGCAGAGTGGACAGTGAGAGAGAGAGACAGAGAGAAAGGTCTTCCTTTGCCGTTGGTTCACCCTCCAATGGCCGCCGCGGCCGGCGCACCGCGCTGATCCGATGGCAGGAGCCAGGAGCCAGGTGCTTTTCCTGGTCTCCCATGGGGTGCAGGGCCCAAGCACCTGGGCCATCCTCCACTGCACTCCCTGGCCACAACAGAGAGCTGGCCTGGAAGAGGGGCAACTGAGAGGACTTCATGGAGTACATTACCATGTTAGGCAATCCACTATGACTTGCAGGTCCTACTCAGTACGTGTAGAGATGAGCTGGTATTGGATTGCATATGTTTCATCTGGAACTTCACCTTGCACATTGAGGAAAGGTGCTATGTCTCAAATTGAAACATCTATCTTTCTTTTGGGATGAGAAGAGATGTAGTTAACAAGAGAATTTGTTAATTTATTGTATATTGTTTCTCAAAAATTTGAGAAAGTTAATATGGTTTGTATGAAAGACACTTAGCATTTATAGGAACATTTAAGATAAATGTGAAAGTTTTTGAATGGTTTATGGCTAAGACTTTCATCCTGTAAGACTATGAAACATTATCTTCTAGGAAAATTTAAGGAACACAGGATCCAAATACTAAATAGGGTAACATGTTCTAAACAGACTCTTGAGACAAGCTTTAGAAAATTGTTTATTTCAGTGCGTCAGTTTTTATAGTCATTCATGATTGTGTCATTTCTATGAAAATTTCTCAATGCAGTTTTTTGTTTTCCTTCTTGCCAAAGCCTACTTTGGTTTCTGTGGCTTTGTGGGATATTTTTTATGCCCTCTTTTTAGCTCCCATAGGCCCCGTTTTCTAAAAAGTCACTTAGATTTCACTTAGATAATCTTTAGTGTGAGTTTATTTTATGATTCACTTTTTAGATTTATTTGTTATGTTTGCTTATGAACTATTTTCTCATTTGCTTTTTGTCTTTTTAGCATTGATCTGGTAGCCTTGCTTCAGAAGTCTGTTCCTCCCAACCAAGCCTCAGAAGCCAACTCCTTTGAAACTTCCCAACAGCCGGGTTTTGGCCAAGCCCTTGTCTTCACAAATTCTCAACATAACAATCAGATGGCACCAGGGACTGGCGGCTCCAATGCTGTCAACTCCTATTCTCCTCAAAGTCTGGTAACTCACTTTTGTTTCAGTATAAAATTTTAAGCAATATGTCCATTGGCAAATGTTTTCTAGAATGTAACACATATTTTAGATATTTATCCATTTACAAAATAATTCTATGCATCAGTCCAGAAGACAATGATGTGATAAACTCCAAGCACATATCTGATGATTCCATGTGGAATGTAACTACTGAGATTTCTGGATAATGATGCAAATATTTCTTTGTGATAAGTTGAATTCTTCTCAACTAATGGTTCTTCAGATTGAAAAACATCCTTTTTATTAGTGATTTTTTTCTTTGATTTTGTTTCACAGTATTTAATGTGTTAATATTTTTTAAAAGAGATGTATTTATTTACCTGAAAGGCAGAGTCACAGAGAAGGAGAGGCACAGAGAGAAAGAGAGATTTCATCTGCTGGTTTACTCTCCAAATAGCTACTATGACCAGGGCTGGCCAGGCAGGTGCCAGGAACCTGGAGTTCTTCTGGGTCTTCCACATGGATGTGGGGGCCGAAGCCCTTGGACCATGCTCTGATGCTTTCCCAGGTGCATTAGCATGGAGCTGGATTAGAAGTTGAGCAGCCGGGACCCAACCAGTGCCGATATGGGATGCTGGTGCTGCAAATCATAACTTACAACATGCATTACAACATCAGCCCCTAATACATTAAGCTTTTGTTTCAGTTTATTTAAACGCAAATGCAAGTAATTTGGCTTGCTGCAAATCATGCAAAAATAGTTCTTTCCAAATCTGACTTTGTGTTTACATTTTTTACATATTTTTGTTATTCTGTAAAATTGGACATTTTTTTTAAATACTAATGATGTAATGAAGTCCCATGTGTTTCCTTGAAACAGTGTCATCTAGTGCTGTATATTTGAGACTGACTTTCTGCTGTCAGAAAGAACTTTGAGAAATATATTACTGAAGGGTGTGAAGGCAGACTGCCGGAGTGTAGTTTATGATAGAATCTAGTTGTATAATGGTTACATGAAATCCCTGCTTAACTTTAGGAAGTTCAGACTGCCCGAGAGGAGATTGAAAGGGCTGTGAACACAGACCTGTATTTTCACTAGTGATGATTATTTTGACTTTTTGTTTATTTGTTTTTATCTGAAATGTATTGTTGAGAAATAGAATGTTCTTCCCTACCTGGGTCAAATTGTTTGCTGTACCCTGAGAAAAGTGAATTTACAGACTTAAGGTTGGGTGTATGCTATGATGGTTAAGATGCTACTTGTGAAGGCTGATGTTGTGGCACAGTGGGTAAAGCTGCCACATACGATGCTAGCATCCCGTATGGTTGCTGGTTTGCATCTCGGCTGCTTTTTTCTGATGCAACTCCCTGCTAATGTGGAAATATGGCCCAAGCATCTACATGGAAGGCCTGGATGGAATCCCAGCCCTGGCCACTGTGGTCATTTGGAGAGCGAAGCAGCAGATGGGAGAGCTCACCTTCTCCCTCTCCATGTAATAGTTAAAACTTTAAAAAACGATTTAAAAAGCTACTTGGAAATTCTGCATCTTGGGTCTGAGTGCCTAGATTCAAGTCTTGGTTCTGCTTGATTCCAGCTTCCTACTAATATGAACCCTGGTAGGTTCAAGTACCTTGGTCCCTGCCACACATGTGGGAGATCCAGCTGCTGCTGTTGTGGGTCCTTTGGAGACTAAACTAGTAATGGAAGATCTCTGTGTTGGTCTCTGTCTCCCTCTCAGCTTCTCTGCCTTTCAGATGAATACAATTTGAAATAAAAGAAAATGTGTATTTTTTCTTACTGTCTTCTCCATGCAGTCATGTCACATTGTGGGCTTGGGGCTTAGCATGTTTAGTGTCATTGTTGTTTGAGTTGGTGTCAGTGCTTGAAATGGGCATGCTGCCATCTCTGTTTTGAAAAGAAAGGCCCAATAACTAGAACCTTTGTGTTTTGAGTGAACCACTGTTGTTCTCTTCTGTGTTTCTATCTCCTACTGGTGTAAAGCTGTGAAGTCCTCGCTGACTCTCAGCCTGGCACTGAGTTCATGGGTATCACTTGAGTTCTTTTGAAAAATTGTATTTATTTGAGAAGCAGAGAGAGAGCTCCTGTGGCTGGTTCACTTCCCAGATGACCACAACTGCTGGGATTGGGTCAGGGTTGAAACTGGGAGCCTGGAACTCAATCTAGGTCTCCTGTGTGTGTAGCAGGGACCCAAATACCTGAGCCAACATGAAGTTCTTCTCAGGGTGTGCATTAGCAGGGAGCTAGAATCAGGAGCAGAACTGGGACTTGACTGTAGGCACTGTGACATGGGATGTGGGAATCATTATCTTAACTGGGGCCAAACTGCCTCCTGCCAAACAAAGGCAGTGATAATTAATTATTGTGCTGAATCACAAGTGGACTAGCTGGGACTCTCAGCCAGGCTCTCGGGAGTGGCATGCTGGCATTCCACATGTTGACTTCAACACAGTACCAACCCAGCATTCCAGTGCTTGGATTTTTAGTGACCTTCATGTGTGTTACACCTTGAGAAACTGGAGTGCAAATTGACTGTTTAACACTGTACTAGGGTGATGGTTTTCCACTCTACAGCACTTTATAACCATTAGGGAACATAGTAAATTGCAACAACAGTAATGATGGTAGTAGTAGCAATAATAATACTTAGGATAGCCTCAAGACAAAATGAGTGAGAATCTTTGAGATGGGAATTTGGTCCCTGTGTGTGTTTGTATATGTGTATGCATTTGTATGTGAACATGCTTATTTAAAAGTTCTCCATTGATTTAAATTTGTAGGAGACATTGAGAGGCCCTATACTAAGTGGCATTTTAGGCATGGCTGTAGTCATTGACTCAGGAATTTCATGGTGTTGTAAACATACAGATAATGTATTTGATAAAACTAGCTGATGGATTAGAGGAAGATGGGAAGCATCTTCTGGGAAACCATCACTTGCCTCACCCCCAGATGGCCAGGTCTGGGCTAGGCAGAAGCTGGAACCCAGGAACTCCATGTTCTACATGTCTGGTGTGGACCAAACAATTGGGCCATGTTCTGCTGCCTTCCCAGGTACATTTGCAGGAAGCTGGATTAACCTACTGAGCATGGCACTGGCCCCATTGCTGCTCTGCTTTCAATCCAGCTCCCTGCAAATGCGCCCAGGAAAGCAGCAGAAGATGCCCGAGTTCTTTGGCCCTTGCCATCCATGTGGGAAACCCAATGGAGTTCAGTCTCCTGGCTTTGGCTTGACCTAGCCTCGGCTGTTGTGTCCATTTGGGGAGTGAATCAGCAGATGGAAGATCTCTGTCTCCGTCTCTCTTGGCACACTCTCGCTTGTACTCTCTCTCTCCTTCTCTCCCCTCCTCCCTCTGTAACCCTGCCTTTCAAATAAATAGATTAAATCTTTTTCTTTTTTTAAGTAAAGAGTATGTTGGAAATTCTTTATATTGCTGAGAATTTGTTTTTTTTTTTAATTTCCCATTCAAGTCATCCGTTCTTGGCTCAGGATTTGGAGAGCTTGCACCATCCAAAATGGGGAACATCACTAGCTCCCAGATCTTGGACCAGTTGAAAGTTCCAAGTTTGGGCCAGTTTACCACCACCCCAAGTTCACAGCAGAATAGTGCGAGTACCCCCACAACTACTACTTCTTGGGACCTCAAGCCTTCAGCATCCCAGCCCTCCGTCCTTAGTCATTTTGGTAAGTATACATTTTCTATGCCGTTTTTGCCTACTGAAGCCATGCTAAGCATCAGTGTGTGTTGACTTGTATTCTCAAATGTAGAGTTTGTTCAGACATATTTCTTTTTAAATTTTTTTATGTAAAGACATTTTTACATATTTATATTATTCTTGTAAGAGGGTACTTCAAAGAGTTCATGGAAATGGAATTAAAAATGAGTATAGATTTTGAATAAAAATTTTCTTTGAGAGGCAGAGTTACCGACTGAGAGGTCTTCCATCCTTTGATTCACTCCCCAAATGGCTTCATTGGCCAGAGCTGGGCTGATTGAAGCCTGGAGCTTCTTCCACGTCTCCTACATGGGTGCAGGGGCCCAAGCACTTGGGGCCATCTTCTACTTTCCCAGGCCATTAGCAGAGAGCTGGATCAGATGAGGAGCAGCTGGGACACCAGTCGTCACCCATATGGGATGCTGGTGCCACAGGTAGCGGCTTAACCTACTATGCCACAGCACTGGCCCCAATAAAAATGTTTTTTAAAAGAATTGTTTATTTATTTGAAAGGCAGGCTGATAGAGATCTTCCATCTACTCCCCAAATGCTCTCAGTAGCCCACCAATATAAACTCTTTGTAATTCCATTTTTCCACTATTTGAAACACCCTCATGTAATATGTGCTTTGATTTATTATCATTTGTAATGGTAATGGTTGTGGTGGTTTTTATTAATAGTAATAGTAAAATAGTTCATTCCTTGAACAGCTGTGCCAAAGTATGTCAGAAACATGTGAGTATGAGTATACAACACTTGGAGGCAATGCGTTCACAAAATTTCCTGAGCTCTGTTAGAGTAAGGTGACGACAAAGGTTTGAATGTGGATAACATTTCAAATCCTACTTTTGTGATTTTTTTTCTCATTCTTTAACTTGCATTTATCCACAATATTTGGTCAAACTCTGCCTATTTTTCTGTGGTTTGCCTTGTAAAGTCAGAATGTGTGAGCTGGATTTGTTCTAAAGCGAAGTCCCACAGAAAGTATGACATTAAACCACTGTTCCCCAACAGTTGCTCAGATACTACATTAAATTATGGAATTTCAGGGGTCACATTACATAGAATTGATGTGTTGGGCTGGTTGTGTTTAGGGTATATGCAAACACCTGGAAGTATGTATTTCTCTGCTGAGTGAAATGGCTTATAGTGTTGAAAGTACCTGAGTCTCCTTCTAGGTTTGAATAGTATCTACCAAGGAAACACCTTGAGAGACCCCACACACAGTGCTTTTATTGTGGACTACATGTGTAGATAACCTCTGCCTCCTTTTATATTATAAGGAATAATGAATCTAGTACATAACAGATGTACAGGCTCTAAAGAGGAAAGCAGATGTTGAGTATAAATCACATTATATGTACAGACATTCCAGAGAGTGAGCAGTTCTTACTGGTTTGTGTGTTTGCAGCCTTTTATAGCACGTGCCATCAGTCCCTGTTCCCAGGCTACCATCTGAGGGCCAGCTGGCCAATAGTGCTAACTTTTTTTTATACATGCACTACTGAGTTTTAGGATAGGCACACTATTCCTATGTTATAAAGCACTTCTTTTTGATACATGCCTCTAATATCATGTTCACAAATGGATTTAATTTGAGTCTGCCTTTATTTTTTGTAAATTAAGTTTTGTTGAAATCCAGCCTAAGTACCCAGTGTCTGGGTACTTTCAACTGCACAGGCAAAGTTGAGTCATTGCTGGCAGCTGGCCTTCAACTACTAAAATAAAACTCTGTAAATGACATTTACAGAAAAAGATTACCCACTGCTGTCCTTTATGATGGACGTGGCAGTTGAAATCAGTGGTGAAAAAGTGGGTTATTGTAATCAGATGTCTGGTGGGAGAGTGAAGTTGTATCCCTTCACCAAAGTGCCAGATGCATCAATTAAACATAAATAATGAATCTAGAAAGATGGTAGAAAAAAATTACACATAAGCATTCCTATAATGTCTATGTGAGAGGAATTTTTCTTGATTTGGCAGGAAATAGCATAACCAGATCAAAAGGTAGATGAGACAACTTAAGGAAAAAGACTTGAAACTCGGCCGGCGCCGCGGCTCACTAAGCTAATCCTCCGCCTTGCGGCGCCGGCACACCGGGTTCTAGTCCCGGTCGGGGCACTGGATTCTGTCCCACTTGCCCCTCTTCCAGGCCAGCTCTCTTCTGTGGCCAGGGAGTGCAGTGGAGGATGGCCCAAGTGGTTGGGCCCTGCACCCCATGGGAGACCAGGAGAAGCACCTGGCTCCTTGCTTCAGATCAGCATGGTACGCCGGCCGCAGCGGCCACTGGAGGGTGAACCAACGGCAAAGGAAGACCTTTCTGTCTCTCTCTCTCACTGTCCGCTCTGCCTGTCCAAAAAAAAAAAAAAAGACTTGAAACTCATATCATGTACAAAGAGTTAATTTCCTTAATATAAAAGGAAGTACTAAAAAAGAGATTAACAGGCAGGTAAAACCAAAGAAAAATACAGCCAAAAGAGATACAGGTGACTCCCATAAGAAAATAATGCTCCAGTGTGTGAAGTGATGCTCATGCACATTTTTATCATTATGTCTTGCATTTGTTTTCTTTTTTTAAAAGATTTATTTATTTGAAAGCAAGAGTTAGAGAAAGAGAGAAGTCTTCCATCTGCTGGTTCACTCCCCAGATGCCTGCAATGGCTGGAGCTGCACTGATCTGAAGCCAGGAGCCAGGAGCTCTTGCAGGTCTCCCACGTGGGTGCAAGGGCCCAAGCACTTGGGCCTTCTTTTGCTACTTTCCCAGGCCATAGCAGAGAGCTGGATTGAAAGTGGAGCAGCCGGGTCTCGAACCAGTGCCCATATGGGATGCCAGCATTGTAGGATGAGGCTTTACCACTAAGCCACAGCGCCGTCTCCTTGCTTTTCATTTATACCATTTTCTACCAATCAAACCTAGAAAGGTAAAGTTTGGTATTGAGTATATTAAAAGGATGTGTTCTGAGGCAATTGTTTGGCCTAGCAGTTAAGATGCTGGTTAGGATACTTGGGTCCCGCACTGGAACATGTACCTATGTTTAATACCTGGTTATGACTCCTAATTCCAGCTTCCTGCTAACACAGACCCTGGGTGGCAGGGTCCCTGTCATCTATGTGGGAGACCTCAGTTGAGTTCCTGGCTCCCTGTTTTGGTGCCAGGGCCATTGGGTTTATTTGAGAGAACCCTCTCTTTCAAATACATAAATAATAATTTAAAGGTTATATCTTTAGATAGCAGTTTTGAAGTGTTAGTCAAAATTTAAAATTTACTCTGTGAACCAGCAACTCTGTTAACGGCTATTGATCCTACAGATGTACTTCTACTTGAACAAAATGTTGTATGTAGAACTATATTCATTACTTTGTGTTAAGAGGTTAGAAAACTTAAAAAGCTTATTAATAAGTGTACTTAAAAATACCTATTAATAAATACTTTAAAAATTTCTATTTTGTAATGAACAGGAAGAAAGTAGTCATTTGTATATTAATTCATAGCAGTCTGAAAATTAAATGATTTATTAGAAAATAAGGTACTGTGTGTGTGTCTGTATGTTTGACACATGATCTGAAGATATTCAGAAAACTGAGTAGTGTTTGCTTTTGTGAAGCAAGTGTGGGGAGGCTATGGAACCATATACGTTTTTGTACCTTTTGGATTTTATGATAGCATATGGATGCACATCAAAAAAAAATTAATGGAAAATGGAATAAAATTTATTCTAGAAGAACTTCTAAAAATTATTTATGTATTTGAAAGACAGAAAAAGATAACTTATATTTGCTGATTCATTACCCAAATTCCCACAGCAGCTGGGACTGGATCGAGCCAAAGGCAGGAAGCTAGCATGTCTAATCAGGTCTCCCATGTGAGTCACAGGTACCCAGATATTGAGCCATCACTGCTACCTTCCAGGTGCTTTAGTAGGAAGCTGCAAGCTACGTGGAGGTGGAACTCGATCCCCAGCACTCCTGTATGGGATGTGCTTATCCCAAGCAGTGGCTTAATCAAGTGTACCGAAATGCCCACTCCTGCAACAACAGCTCAAATCATTGAAATTCTTCATATACGTATTTTCCATGCATTTGAAAACCTTTTATGTGCATGGGTTAAATTTTTCACCAAAATGAACTTATTCTTTCATTCCATTTGCCATAACTTTTTTGCCTTGTGTTTTACTTAGGAAAAAGTTAATAACAGATTTTTTAAAGATATGTATAAAATCCATAAAACAATAAATATGTAATTCTCGTTTATTATTCCAACATATTTAGTACCTCAAGATTTTTTGTTAACAGTTCCTCCAAGTGGTCTATAAAGCATAATCTGTATCTTTGCATAAGAAATAAAGTGCAAACATATCCAGGCACCCTTCATTTACCATATAGCAGATTTGCATAGTTTATGATCCATAAAGAGATTCAGCTGGAAGATGATTTTGAGAAACTGGTTGTGCTGAAGCCCTGTTGTGACCAGTGATGAGGGGAAATGGAGTTTGAAGCTCTTGTGCCAAATAATTAATTATTGCTGTTATTTTCTTTACATATTTCATAGACTTCAAATCTCAGCCTGAGCCATCCCCAGTCCTTAGCCAGTTGAGCCAGCGACAGCAGCACCAGACCCAGGCTGTCCCTGCTCCTCCTCCTGGTTTGGAGTCCTTTCCTTCTCAGGCAAAACTCCGAGAATCCGTGCCAGGAGACAACACCTCCACTGTGAACAAACTGTTGCAACTTCCCAGCCTGACTGTGGAAAATATTGCCGTGTCTGCCCACCAGCCGCAGCCCAAACACATCAAACTGCCTAAGCGGCGGATACCTCCAGCGTCTAAGGTGGGCTTTCGTGATGAGGCCACAATCCCAAAGGTGGATTCACTGTAGCATCTTGTTTTTTGTTGGAACATCAATTCTCAAACTATGATGCAGTGTTTTTCAAGTCTTGCTTACCACTGTTTGAGGATTTCTCCATTTCTGAGTTGCTGGCTTAATATCAGAAGAAATGGGTTTGTACCAAGAGCCTGACACCTTAATTCAAAGTAGACTTGATTAACCAGCTGGTTAATACACATCTGTTGTGTACTTTGCTGTATGCTGTGTATGGAGGGTGTGTGGTTCCTCGACCAGGTAATGCTTTTCTAAGTGGTGTGTCCTGGAAATAGAGTAAACTGGATGCCTACTCTTCCCTCCTGGAGCCTTTGCCGCTGCACCCCCCCCCCCAAAGCTGTGCATTAATACTGACCATTCCTCTGTTAACTTTTAGTTTTTCTTCATTCTTTTCTCCTCACTCTTCTTTTAAAAAGTACTGTTCCGGGCCGGCGCCGCGGCTCACTAGGCTAATCCTCCGCCTAGCTGCGCCGGCACACTGGATTCTAGTCCTGGTTGGGGCTCCGGATTCTGTCCCAGTTGCCCCTCTTCCAGGCCAGCTCTCTGTTGTGGCCAGGGAGTGCAGTGGAGGATGGCCCAGGTGCTTGGGCCCTGCACCCCATGGGAGACCAGGAAAAGCACCTGGCTCCTGGCTCCTGCCATCGGATCAGCGCGGTGCGCCGGCCGCGGCAGCCATTGGAGGGTGAACCAACAGCAAAAGGAAGACCTTTCTCTCTGTTTCTCTCTCTCACTGTCCACTCTGCCTGTCAAAAAAAAAAAAAAAAAAAAAAAAAAAAAAAAGTACTGTTCCTTTTCCCTTCCTTTCCATCTCTCATTCTACCCCCACCTTTTTTTGGGGGGGGTCAGTGTTGCCCAGGTAACCCAGCTGCGGGCTGGGTTGTCTTGTAGGTCTCTATGATGCAGAATTCCTGATCCTTGTTTCTCACATGACAGTTTTGCTTTTACAGATTCCTGCTTCTGCGGTGGAAATGCCTGGCTCCGCAGATGTCACAGGTTTAAATGTTCAGTTTGGAGCCCTGGAGTTTGGATCGGAACCCTCTCTCTCCGAATTTGGATCAGCTCCAAGCAGTGAAAACAGTAATCAGATTCCCATCAGCTTATATTCAAAGTCTTTAAGGTATACAACTTGCCACTGCTCTAAAAAACTACCCTGTGGAGACAGTACATCCTGTTTAATTCGAAAACATTTTTTCCATCACCCTCAAAAGAAGCCCCATACCCCATAGCTGGAGCAGACCCCAATTCTTTGCGGGCCAGTAATCCATCTTTTCCCTATCCTGGACACTGAGAATCATGTAGTATTAGGTCTTTTGTGTCTGAATTCTTAATAACATTTCCAAGATTCGCCCATGTTTAAATGTCCTTGTGGGAATACGTGAGATTTTGCTTGCTGATTCATTAGTTGGTAGACATGTGTTCCTTCTCTTCGGTCACTCTGTTACATGTCTTGTGTGCTTCCCAGTCTTTTGGCTATATTCTAAGGAGTAGCATTGCTGGATGATGCCATAACTCTTATATGTAATCATTTCAGGAATACCAAACTTGTTTTGTATGTGGCTTCAGCATTTACAAGTAATATTTGAAGGGTCCAATTTCTACACAGTTTTGTAATATCAGTTGTCTTTCAGTGGAATATTTTATAAGTAGAAAATCTCATATTTGAGTTTTTAATAATTTTCCACATTCTACACTTGATGTTTGAGTTCTCTTTTTTATTACTCTCTCTCTCTTTTTTTTTTTTTTGACAGGCAGAGTGGACAGTGAGAGAGAGAGAGAGAGAGAAAGGTCTTCCTTTGCCGTTGGTTCACACTCCAATGGCCGCCACGGCTGGCGCACCGCGCTGATCCGATGGCAGGAACCAGGTACTTATCCTGGTCTTCCATGGGGTGCAGGGCCCAAGCAATTGGGCCATCCTCCACTACACTCCCGGGCCACAGCAGAGAGCTGGCCTGGAAGAGGGGCAACCGGGACAGAATCTGGCACCCCGACTGGAACTAGAACCCGGTGTGCAAGGCGGAGGATTAGCCTAGTGAGCCGCGGCGCCGGCCTTGAATTCCCTTTTTAAAATATAGTCAGACAGCTGACTTCCTTATAGAATTCCTTACAGAATCTTAAAGAGGCAGCAGTGATGGCTCCAGTAGTTGAACTACTGCCACCATATATGGGAGAACTGGATTGAGTTCTTGCTTCCTGTCTTTAGCCCTAGCCCAGTTCTGTTCCAGCCCCATCTGTTACCATCATTTGAGGAGTGGGCTTGTGGATGGGGGAATCTCTCTCTGTGTCTCTTTCTGTCTCTCTCTGCCTCTAAAGTAAATAAGTTAAATAAAAATTTTAAATCATGTAATAGTATACATTTATAGTTGTATTTTTAATTTAGACTACAACAATCAAATGATGTAGTCCTATTTTATGAAATTATGTGAAGTGACATAAATTTGTGTCTAATACCTTTTGCTCTTAGTGATCCTTTGAATACCTCTTTACCAATGACCAGTGCAGTACAGAACTCCACCTATACAACTTCAGTCATTACCTCCTCCAATCTGACCAGCTCGTCCCTGAGCTCCACTAGTCCAGTAACAACGTCTTCCTCCTATGACCAGAGTTCTGTGCACAACAGGATCGCATACCAAAGCTCTGTGAATCCATCGGATTTAGCCTCCGCTGGAACAGTCACGGTAAGCTGTGTTTCATGTTTCTTCTCTCAGATAGGCCATTTGGAAGTTAGTGTGTGGGTTGGTAAATTCTGCTTTTTAGATAACGCTTTTCATATGGAAATTAGGTAAGCTTTTTAGAATCCTTGTGACCTGCTACATTTGGCTGAAGTGGGCCTCTGCAGCACAGATGCATGCAGTGGCGCCCCAGTTCTGTGTAGTGGAAGTAGTCTGGCTGCGGCACCACATACTCCTGCAAGGTGTGACCCCATACAAGTCTTGGCATGTTCTGTGTCCTCCTCTTCTACTGCACTGACTCCTGTTCCCTGACTGGAGGAAACACCATGTCACCATTAGCTGTAGTGTTTTAAGATCAGAGGCACTCTACCCAGCGTTTGTAAGCAGTACTGGATTCTAAATCAGGGAACCAGATCCCTTTGTCAGTGGTTAGGTTTTGCCCTTCAAGAGGCTCATTAGCTGCACAGGTTTGCTAGCTATGTGTCTGACTGTCATTGGCCTTCTCTCAAGTTGAGATATGCAAATATGTCTTGAATGTTAGGAGACTTTAAAGGAAAAAGTGTACTAGGTTAGGCTAATTCCACGGTTTGTTATTTTTATGTTTCTTGATCACTCTTTGAACAAGCTCACATTTTCCTTGCATAAAATTAAAATACCACTGGTACATCTGAAGTCCCCTCCAAACCACTGTGAACAAACTGGGATCAGCCCTTCTACCTAGATCATGTCTGCATTGCTTGTGTAATTAAAATCAGTGTACATCAAGGAGTTTTTCTGTTGTGATGGTATTGTTCTCTATCATGATAGGAATCTGGATTATATGAGGATGTGTTTGTTAAAACTCACTCAATGATACCTTTGCATTTGTGTCCGTGTAGGCATGTTTTACCCTAAAACTAAACCTACTAAATAAGTACTTGGCTGTAGTACTGAAATTCACTAATTTCTGCAAACTTAATTTGAAATGCATCAGCAGCAGCAACAAAAATAACAGTTGAGGGTGTGTAAGATAGATGGTTACAAAAGTAAGAAGCAAATACAGAAAAAAAAGTTGTGATAGAATATGAATGCTTAACATACATTTCATTCCACTTATCTATGTTTGAAATTTTTTATGATAAATGTTAGGGAACAAAGTTCGCATATATGGAGTTCTATGTTCATTTAATTATTTTAGAATATGACATGGTATCTTGGAATTTCAATTCAGTACCTCTGTGTGTCCAGAGTTTCTAATTGGACTTATTTATTTTTTATTTACTATTTTAAAAAAAGATTTATTGACTTATTTGAAAGTCAGAAGCAGAAGAGAGATATCTTTCATCCACTGGTTCAGTTCCATCAGCTGGTTCACTGCCCCAGTGGGGAGGGCTGGGCTAGACCAAGGAACTTCATCCAGGTCTCCCATGTTGGTGGCAGGGCCCCAAACACTTGGGCCATCTTCCACTGCTTTCCCAGGCCATTAGCAGAGAACTGGGTGGGAAGTGGAGCAGCTGAGACATGAACGCATGCCCATATGGAATACCATTGTCACAGGCAGCAGCATTACCTGCTAAGCCACAGTACCAACCCCTGTAATTGAATTTTTTAAAAAGTAACTTTTGTTTTCCTTATCAATACTGGTAGTTAATAATCATGGGAGTAAAATACACAACCTTGCCATATTAAGAGCACATGTGTGTGTACACACACATACACATGTGAGACAGTGAGTGTTCCACATCCTTCTGCAAATACTGTTCTCAGAAAGGTATAGGCAGGCTTCAGTTTTAAGGGTTTTGGAGAGCCAAGGAAACAATGATATCAAGGTAATTTTTTTTCCTAATTTTTATTCATTTGAGAGGTCACAAGAGAGAGATGGATATACAGAGACAAATTTCCCATCTGCTTGTTAACTTTCCAAATGCCAGGAATATCTAGGGCTGGTCAGGTTGGAGCCAGAAGCCGGAACTCAGACCAAGTCTTCCAGCTGGGTAGCAGTAACCCATCCACTTGTTGCCTTTCTAGAATGCACATTCTTAGGAAGCTGGAATCAGCACTGGTGCCGGGTATCCAGCATGGGTACTGCCATATGAGACATGGGCATCGTGACCAGTGTCTTATCCTCTAGGCTAAATTCCCATCCCTGTGGTAGTTCTGTATTACTGAATCTGCATGCAGTCATCTGAAATCTTAACTGTGTTTGAGATAAGTAATCTTGCTTTATTAAGATAAGCACATAATCGGTTGAAAACATCAAGACAATGTAGGCAACCCAAGTGTATTGTTAATTAAGTGATCTTTTCTAAGGTTTTGCTGCTTTCCCTGGAATGCGACACTCAAATCCCAGGATGGGTATTGGGACATATCTTGAATTAGATGGAGCTTTCTTCACCTTTTACCTTTCCACCGTTGCCTTCACCTAAACATTCAGGAAAAGAACCGTGTCCTGGCCCAATTGTATCTCTCTGTGTCCCTCCCCCATGATTTCATTCTTCATATTGCTTCAGCAGGAAGTTTTGAGGACCAGTCCAGTCCTCCTAAATAAGTACACTGTTTTTCCCTTTTCATATCTTTGCCCTACTTTAGCTCCTATATGTCTGGCCTTAAGTTGGACAGCTTTTTAGTAAGGCATATCTGTACAGCCAGTTGCCTTCTGTAGGCTGGCTCATCATATACATCCTTATGGAATGCTTTTCAGTTTCACTGATTAGTCATAATCCTCTCTCTCTCCTCCCCCTCCCTCTCCCCCCCCCCTCTTTTTTTAAGAGAGAGAATAGGAGGGAGAGACACAGAGAGAGGTATTTCATCTACTGGTTCACTTTCCAAATGGCCACAACAGCTGCACCTGAGCCAGTCTGAAGCCAGGAGCTTCATCTGGCTCTCCTGTGTGGGTTTAGGGTGCCCAAGAACTTGAGCCATCTTTTGCTGCTTTCCCAGATACATTAGCAGCAAGCTGGATCAGGATGTGAGACTCAAACCAGCACCCATATGGGATGCCAGCACTGTAGGTGGTGGCTTATCTGGAATACCACACCACTGGCATCTGTAATCCATCCCCCCTCTTAAGATTTATTTATTTAAAAGGCAGAAATAGAAGGAGAGACAGAAAGATCTTCCTTGTTAGTTGACTCCCCAAATGGCCACAATGGCAAGTGCTGGGCCAGGCTGAAGTCAGGAACCATGAGCTTCTTCTGGGTCTCCCATGTTGGTGCAGAGGCCCAAGCACTTTCCCAGGTGCTCTATTAGGAGCTGAATCAGAAGTGGAGCACTGGGACTCGAACCAGCAACCATATGGGGTACCAGCGCAGGTGGAGGTTTAACCTTCTACACTAAAATGCTGCCGTTGGCACCCTCCCTCTGCAATAATTTTTTGTGAACTATTATTTGAAAGGCAGAGTTATGGGAGATGTGTCTGTGGGGCGGAAGGAGGGAGAGGTCTCTTCCATCTGCTGGCTTACTCCCCAATTGGCTGCAACAACTGGGGCTTGGCCAGGCTGAAGCCAGGAGCCTTTAACCCCATGTAAGTTTCCCATGTGGGTAGCAGGAACCCAAGCACTCTGGCCATCATCCACTGCTTTCTCCGTTATACTTACAGGGAGCTAGATTGGAAGTAGAGCATCTGGGACTTGAACCGGCACCCATTTGGGATGCCAGCATCACAAGTGGCAGTTTAACCTGCTGTACCACATCAGCCCTGAGTCTGTTAATTTTTGCTGTTACTCTGAAGGTGACTTTCAGACCTGAGCTTTCTGCTCTATATCTTAACTACTTATTAAATGATTCTTACTTATATGTACCTCAGAGAGATAAATTGAACATCTGTTAGATGTTTTCTTCCATAGATTGAACCTCCTTGATGGTCTAGACTGGATTCAGCATTAGTCATTTCCTTGCTACTGTGCAATATAATTTTACCTCTGCTTAATCACTGCCAGCCTCACTTCATCTGTTTTCTGAGGACATTTGTGTGGATTGGCCTTTGATTTGGTTATTTTATTTATTTTAAAAATTTTATTTGAGAGGTAGAGTTACAGACAGAGAGGTCTTCCGTCGGTCGGTTCACTCCCCAGATGGCTGCGACATCTGGAGCTGCACCGATCTGAAGCCAGGAGCCAGGTGTTTCTTCCTTGTCTCCCATGTTCTGCTGCTTTCCCAGGCCATTGCAGAAAGCTGGATTGGAAGAGGAGCAGCCGAGAGTAGAACTGGTGCCCATGTGAGATGCCAGTGCCGCAGGCAGAGGATTAACCCACTGCTCCACGGCGCCGGCTCCTCAATTTGGTTTAAAACGGATCTTAGCGTTCAATGGTGAGCCAGCTGGGCCAGGAGTGTTCTATCTCTCAAGGATTATAGTTGCAAATTCAATATATATAATTGGTAAATGGCTAGCCAGGCTTTCTGTTTCTTCTCTTGATTTGTATAGGTCAACGAATTTGTCTGTTTCATCTCGGATTTTACTGGCATGAGTTTTTACATAATTCTGTGTTGTCTTTTTCATGTCTGTAGGATCTGTGGTGGTGATGACTCTTTCTTACTGTTGATATGTATCAGCTAATGTTCAGCAGTCTGCATGATGGGGCAGAGCGTGTTGTGTGTGAGCTTGTTTGGATTCCCGGGGAGTATTCCTTCAACGTTCTTCCTGTAGGGCATGTCCCTGTCTGAGAACCTCACAGGAAGAAAAGGCTGGATTCACAGTCAACATTTTGTCTATGAACACGTCTCCGTGTCCATTGTTTTTTATTTGTTGCACTGTCCCTGGCCATGTGTATACTTTTTTGATGATATATAGAGCCCATTGGAGAAGGAAGTCACCCTGCTGAACAGATTGTATTGAATCATTTTTAAGATTGATTCATTGGGCCTGGCATTAGGGCATGCTGTAGATAAAGCTGTCACCTGCCACATCAGTGTCCCATATGAGTATCAATTCAGGTCCTGGCTGCTCCACTTGTGATCCACCTCCCTGGCAATGGCCTGGAAAAGCAGCAGAAGATGGTCCAAATGTTCGGCCTTTCCACCCACATGGAAGACCCAGATGAAGCTCCTGGCTCCTGTCTTTGTCCTGGTCCAGTGCTGGCTATTGTGGTCATCTGGGGAGTGAACCTGTGGATAGAAGATCTCTTGCTGTTTCTCACTTTCTCTCTCTAACTCTGCCTTTCAAATAATAATAATAAAAAGATATGTGTGTGTGTATATATATATATATAATATATATATAAATGGATATATAACATTCATTTGAAAGGCTGCAGTAAGGGGCCGGCGCCGCAGCTCACTAGGCTAATCCTCCACCTTGCGGCGCCGGCACACCGGGTTCTAGTCCCGGTCGGGGCGCCGGATTCTGTCCCGGTTGCCCCTCTTCCAGGCCAGCTCTCTGCCGTGGCCAGGGAGTGCAGTGGAGGATGGCCCAAGTCCTTGGGCCCTGCACCCCATGGGAGACCAGGATAAGTAGTACCTGGCTCCTGCCATCGGATCAGCGTGGGTGGCGGCCATTGGAGGGTGAACCAACGGCAAAACGAAGACCTTTCTCTCTGTCTCTCTCTCTCTCTCTCTCTCACTGTCCACTCTGCCTGTCAAAAAAAAAAAAAAAAAAAAAAAAAAAAAAAAAAAGGCTGCAGTGAGGAACGGGGAAATATGAGAGGCAGATTGACAGAGAGGGTGAGTCAGGTTCCATCTATAGGTTCAATGCCTCAGATTGCAATTATGGCTTGAAGTGGTCCAACCACAAGCCAGAAAGTCAGATAATCCATCCTGGTCTCAGAAGTGGGTAGCAGGGACCCCAATACTTGGGCCATTTTCTGCTTTCCCAGGCACATTAGCAGTAAGTAGGGTCAGAAGTAGGATGTCTGAGACTCAAAGCTGCTCTCTGATAGGGGTGTGGGTGTCAACCAGCAGCTCAGCCCAGTGTGCCACAGCCCCCGCCCCAACTGAACAGATTACATCTGTTCTCGGCAATCCACTTTACATAACCGGTGCAGATCAATATTGAGGTGTGGTTCTTTGAGACATAGTTCGTTGTTCTCTGGTTCCCTCTGAATAGTCATTGTCATTTTGCTTCTCTAGATTAGCAGAGTCAGTTACCATCCTCTGTGTGCTTTCTTGGCCAGAAATTTCATTGCCACATTGCCATTATTTCACCACTGTTTGTTTTTTTTTTTTTTTTTTTTTTGTAAGTTTTCTTGGTATATCACTTTTTTACTTTTATTTATTTCAACGATTTATTTATTTGAAAAACAGAGTGATAGAGAAAGACAGGCGTCATACTTCTGATGATTCATTCCCCAAAAGCCTGGAACAGCCAGGACTGGGCCAGTCTGAAGTCAGGAGCAGGAACTCCATCTGTGTCTCCCGTGTATATGGGAAGGACCCAGGTACTTGAGCCATCATCCACTGATCTCATGCATGTTAGCAGGAAGCTGGATCTAGAAGCACAGAATATCTGGGACTTGAACCAAGCACTTCAATATGGGATGCAGGTATCCCAGGTGATGGCTCAACTTATTGTGCCACCATGCCTACCCCTTATTTATTTTTATTTTTGTTTATAATGTTAGTTGTGGGGATTCTTTTTTATTTTTTTACTTCATAGAGCTAGAGACAGATCTTCCATCTCCAGATCCATATAATAGCCAGGACCTAGTTAGGCCAGGTAGCGGAGACTCAGGTGTTTTAGCTGTCGTCTGTTGCCTTCCAAGATGTACAATAGCGGAAAGGTAAATTGGAAGTAGAGGAGCCTGGTCTCAAACCAGGCACCTCCAGTGTGGGATGAGGGATCCCAAGTGGTGATTTAACTTCTCAGCCAAATATCTATGCCCTAAAATACATTGTTTATTTCTTCATTTATTTGAGAGAAAAGAAACTAGCACATCTCCCTTCCACTGATTTCACTCTCAACCCAGCAGTTGAGGCTGGGTCAGGCTGATGAATCTAGAACTCAATCTGGGTCTCCAGTGTAGGTGACAGGGACCCAACCCGTTTAGCCATGGGTTCTTTCAGGGTGTGCATTAGTAGGAAGCTGGATCATAATTGGAGTATCTGGACTTGAGCTCAGACTCTCCTATGTGGGATTTGGGCATCTCAAGTGCTGCCTTAATTTCTTGTGCAGAACACAAACCTTGGGTTCATCCACTTTAAAAAAAAAAAAAAAGTGTAATTCATTTGTCATCTTTAGCACAAAACTTTTCTTTACTTTCCAATATGGCAGCCACTAGCCCATGTAGTTATTTATACTTAATTAAACAGTTGAAATTATAAGGAGTTCTGTTGGACATTGCTGGTTTGTGCTGTGTCTAAAATAAAGAACAGATGATGGAGGCTGGCGTTTTGGCATAGCAGGTAAAGCTGCCGCCTGTGACACTGGCATCCTTTGTGTGTGCTGGTTTGAGTCCTGGCTGCTCCACTTCTGATTCAGATTCCTGCTGATGTGCCTGCGAAAACAGTGGAGGATGCCCAAATACTTGGGCTCCTGCACCCACATAAGAAACCTAGAAGAAGCTCTTGGATTCACCCTGGCCCAGACCTGGCCTTGGTGGCCATTTGGGGAGTTAACCAGCGGATGTAGGATCTTTTTCTCTGTAACTCTGCCTTTCAAATAAATAAAAGTAAATCTTAAAAAAAATATGTGGCAAAAAACCAGATGACATCCTGTCCAAACACCAATCTTGTGATCTCCACTTTTCTCTTTTGCAGACCCACCTATGCTGCTAAGTCACCGTTCAACTCATTACTTGCTATGCTGTGATTTCTTTCTTTTAAATATGTATTTATTTGAAAGGCAGAGTTACAGAGAAATAGATAGGGAGAGAGAGCGATCTTTCATCCACTGGTTCACTCCCTTATGGCCACAATGGTTGGAGTTAAGCCAAGCTGAAACCAGGAGCCTGTAACATTATCCATGTCTCTCACATGGCTTGTGGAGTCCCACACACTTGGACCATCCCGTGCTGCTTTCCCAGGAGCATAAACAGGGAGTTAAATCAGAAGTGGAGTAGCCTGGCCTTGAATTGGAGCTCAGATGGGATGCTGGTGTTGGAGGCAGCTGGTTAACCTGCTGCACCACATCATCCGCTGCTGAGCTCCGTGATTTCTGATCTGCTTGACCCTTTGATGACACTTTGCTTTTGCTCTTGCCATTCTTCTGCCTAGAATTTTCCCCACCCTAAAAAATGTGGCCCCTCCATTGGGTCAGTTTGTCTGTCATTTGTATTTTATTTTATTTATTTTCTGATTAATTTTTTAAAGATTTACTAAGTTGCAAGATAGGTATTTATAGAGAGAGGAGAGACAGTCACAGAAATCTTCCATCTGTTGGTTCTTTCCCCAGATGGCCAGTGGCCAGGGATGGGTCAGGCTGAAGCCAGGAGCTTCATCCAGGTGTCCCATGTGAGAGGCAGGGATCCAAAGACTTAGGCCAACCTCTAGTGCTTTTCTTAGGCCATTAGTGGGCACTGGATCAGAAGTGGAACAGCTGAGACAGAAAGCGGCGTTTATATGGCATGCTAGCATTGCTGGTGGTGGCTTAACCTGTTACATCACAGTGTTGGTCCCTGCCATTTTTGTTTGTAAAGTGATTTCCTTTCCTTTTTTTTTTTTTTAAGATTATTTATTTATTTGAAAGTCAGAGTTACACAGAGAGAGGAGAGTCAGAGAGAGAGAGAGAGAGAGGTCTTCCATCCACTGATTCAATCCCCAATTGGCCATAGTGTCCGGATCTGGACCAATCCGAAGCCAGGAGCTTCTTCTGGGTCTCCCACATGGGTGCAGGCGCCCAAGGACTTGGGCCATCTTCTACTGCTATCCCAGGCCATAGCAGAAAGCTAGATTGGAAGAGGAGAAGCTGGGACTAGAACCAGCGCCCATATGGAATGCCGGCACTTCAGGCCAGGGCGTTAACCCACAGCACCACAGTCCCAGCCCTGTAAAGTGATTTTCAAAGTGGAATTATTCCTCAGGTCTGATAGGTGCTGTTTCCTTTTCTCTTTTCCTGTTTCCCCTGCCTTTTATCTGTTGTATTTTGAGAAGCCTTCTTTAGATGTCAGGGGTTTGTACTGTTTACTGTTTAGCTGGATCGGAAGTGGAGCAGCCGGGTCTTGAACTGGCGCCCATATGGGATGCCAGCGCTTCTAGCCAGGGCATTAAGCTGATGCGCCACAGCGCCGGCCCCATATATATATATATCTTTAAAGATTTCATTTCTTTATTTGAAAGTCAGTTACAGAGAGAGAGAGAGAGAGTGAGCCAGAGAGCCAGAGCCAGGAGCTTCTTCCAGGTCTCCCACATGGATGCAGGGGCCCAAGGACTTGGGCCATCTTATACTGTTTTCCCAGGACACAGCAGAGAGCTGGATTGGAAGTGGAGCAGCCAGGACTCGAACTGGCGTCCATATGGGATGCAGGCGCTGTAGGCAGTGGCCATATCTTCTGCACCACAGAGCTGGCCACTTGTAATTGCTTTAAGTTCACTTCATTGCTGCCTGTGTTTTTGTTACTTCTCCAGTTACTGAATCTGGTTTATAAGAATGTCAGCTCCTTGAAAATAATAAATAAATAGCAAATAAATAAATAATTTTTTGAATTGCCTCTTTCTTTATTAATAAGGTAAAACATTGTTGTTCCTTGAGTAATTTATGTATTTTATGTGGTGGTTAGAGGTTCTTTGAATGTCATTTAGAGAACTGTAATTCTGTAGGTTCACTTACTTTATCCTCTCTTCCTTGTAGAATGGACATGGCGGTGACCGCAGTCAGCAGACACTGGACAGTAAGTACAGCAGCTGCTGTTCCTGTCTTGGCTGGGACAGCCACAACAGAGAAAGAGCGTGGCTGAGGTGGTGGCAAACACACCAGCTGTCCAATAACCAATCCTGCCAGATGAGCCCATTTATGTTTTCTCTGCTAACTGCTTTTGCCTGTCATTAGTAGAGGAGCTAGCTTCACTGGTTAATATAAACCAGTGTTTCTGGGACAGGGTTAAGATTGGTTTTATTATCAGTTTGAAAGCAGAACAACAGAGATAAGAGGGAGCACAGAAAGATCTTCCTTCCATCTCCTGTTTGCTGCTCAAATGGCTTGTCTGTGATAGTAGTGCTTTCCTATCATGATTCAATAAAGCAAATGCATATCCACCATTTGGAATGGAATCCAGAGAGACTGGTTTAATTAACATTTTGGGAGCATGGATATGAGGCTTTGGCAGACCAGGAGGGAACCTTGGCTGGAGTGAAAGTGACGAGTTTGGAGCGCCAGGATCTTGTTTTGGCATTGATGTCGTGGCTGACTTGCCATTGTCGCGTGGAGATACGTTGGCAGCTCTGAGCTTGTTGGATGATGGGAACTTCTCGTAGTAGGAAGTTGTTTCTGTTCAGGCCTGGGGTGAAGAGTGTGTATGGGTGTCCTACATGGCTCAGGTACCAAATGAGGCAGGAAATATTTGGAAAACAGTGTTCGCTTAAGAGATTTTTACTCCCCACTTGCTCTTCTCCTCCCATCCCCCGTCCTGCAGTGAGGGAGGCCTGTGGTAGACCTGCTAGGCCACTCCCATGGCCCAGGGAGTGCATTGAGGGAGGGTGGGGGTGTCTTAGTTTTGGGCAGGGTCCGTCTTGGATTTCCTAGTCTGGTTCCGTGAGAACAGGTTCCACCTCTGGAGTAGACTGCATGGAAAGCAGGCCCGGTAGGAAGTGACGTGGCTGTGTGGCAAGCCTGTTGCCGCTGCCTGTGTGTGCTTTGTTCTTGGATTAGGGCACTTTCCTGTGAGCTGTAGGCTTCCTGCGGCAGAGTGAGGTTGCTCCTCGGCAAAGACAATGATGTATCAATCCAAGCACATATCTGAGATGTATGTGTGGAGAACACTAAACTGAGTCTTTCCCGGAGCTGCAGTGGATGGTGTCAGAGCTCGACCTTTGCCAGCACGTGACAAAGCCATCCTTGCCAGGCTTTTGAAAGCAAGTCTTAGCCAGCGAGTATGTGGCAGGTTGGGGCTGTTGGTGTCTCTGTGCACTGCAGGTTCATTGCCCCCACCTGCCCTGAATTTGCTGTCAGCTTTGGCAGTGTCAGCAGGCCTTGCACTAGGTGCACCCTCCTGTCCACTTCCCACTTGCTGAGGCTTTGAAGGAGAGTTTGCCTCATCTTAATCTAACCTCTTCCTTTCGGGGGACTGCCAAAGGCCAAGATGTGTGAGGTGGGACAAGCAAGTATGTGATTATGAATGTGTCATAGCCCTTGGTTGAGACTTGCACATCCAGCAGAGGAAGGGCAGTGTGGTGACATGCTGTGGGCATTCCCTGGGACTGTAACTGAGCCTGACAAGGCACTGAACGTATCTCGGATACTCAGGATCGGTTCTGGTGCTAACCAGATCTGTTTCTTACAGCTGCTTCATCCGTTCCGGCTCCAAAGACGACCGACGCTCCCTCCGCCCTACCAGCTGTGGGCCCCCTGCCCAGCACTACTGTACCCTCCAACTCCCAGCACACTGCCACTCTGCCCTCCTTGTCCCAGCCTGGTGACCTGCCCGGCAGCCCTCTCTCTCAGCTTAGCAGGTACGGGGAAGATGTGCCCCCAGCATGAGCAGTACCCGGGGCCAAGTCCTGGGGCCCCTAGAGCAGCTCGTTCCCACGAGCAGAACGTGCTGCTGCACGTGGCCCTATGTCCTGGGCTTTCCCATGCACCCCATGGCTCATTTTGCGCAAGCTCGGTCTCAACTCCAGATGTCAGACTTCCCTGCTCGGAAGGCCCTTGCCAGAATGCAATTGCTGGGCCCCCTGGGAAGAAGGTAGGCACAGAAGCTCCCTGTCACTCTTCCTAGACCTCAGGCGGGCACCCAGAGCCCCGGCTCTCCTTCCAGCTCTAGGTCTGTGTCACTGCAACGGGGAGTGCCCGTGCAGTTGAATTTCTGAAGAGGAGTCCACTTTGCACTTGCCCTGGCCTAGGGAAGTTACTAGGGAAAGCAGTGGGGCAGGGTGCTGCGTTCCTCTCCCTGCCTCTTCACTCTGGGGTACAAAGCCTTTGAACTCTGGTCTTTTGGGGAATCCGGCACTGACTCTGACCTGCTGGGTTCAACGTAGAACATAGGACTTGCTTCCCTACCCACAGATTGAGTGGTGTCTCCAGACACAGCAGAGTTCTTAGTGCAGCCCAGTGCGTGCTCGTTGCAGTCTGAAGAAACACGCGGTGTTAGGACTGACGCTGGCTCTGGTGCTCTTCCAGGCCGCGCTGTGCCCGATCTCCTGGAGAGTGACCCTCACCCTCCGGGGCGTCTCAGACCGTCAGGACCGCAGTGGGAACGATTGGAACCTGGGACCTCCCTAGGGCTAGGGACAAGCTTGCAGCCGGCCCTGCGCACGCGTGAGTGACAGGCCGTGCTCTGTTTTGTCTTCTAGTTCCCTCTCTACTCATCAGAGCAGCCTGTCCTCGCACGCCGCCCTCCCCGCGAGCGCGTCCCACACAGTAAGTTTTCAGCCCCTCCCCCTGGCCCCCGCCTTGCTGCAGTGGGGGCTGTGGTGTTCAGTATCCGGGCCGGCCTCCTGTGTTCCGGGGGACATCCCGTGACGTAGTCAGGTGGTTGAGTTGCTGAGTGTGGGGTGCTGTGCAGGACACGCTTCTGCTTGCATCGGGGGCTCCTTGGCGGAGCTGTGCCCCAGCCCTGCCGTGTCGTGGGCGGGGGAGCTGGAGCGCTTCCTCCTGAGGACTGGCTGCACGCTCGGTTCTCTCCCGCTGGGGGAGTCTCTGTCACGTTGTGGCATTTGAAAACTTACGGGGAAGAGTGGGTTCCTTGCTGATTCCGGCTTGGGCCCCACCAAAGACCAGGTCAGAGCGAACTGCGCCCGAGGAAGCGGCCGTCTCTGTGGAGACCTCACAGACGGCGCCTCAGCAGCAGAGGCAGCGCTGGGCGCGCTGACCCGCCGAAGAGCCGAGTGGCAGGCGCCTGGCCAACTTTGTTCCTCTACAGAGGGACCGGCTCCTGTGGAGTGAGGGGCCAAGAACAGCCCGTCCCTCACTCGGGATCTGGAGGGAAATCTCACACACACTCCTCTAAGTCATAAAACACATGCACCGCCATCTTGAAAGGTGAGCAGCGACCTGTGCCTCTGCCCATGCGGCTCGCCTGAGCCCCGGGTGGCTTCCCGCACGTCCCTCGTGCTGCGCTCCGTGACTCAGCAGAGAACTCCGTGTCACATGACCCACACTGCCACATCCAGGATGGTCCACTGGGTCCCGTACTTTGTCATTGTGGCAGCCTTGTCACCTGGCAGTACCTGCACGGTATTAAATATTCTAACATGATGAATATTGGAAAGTTTCTCTCATCTGCTGAGTTCTTCCCCTGTACTCTATTTTCTTAATTCTCTGAGCCTTTTTAAAAATCTGTCCATAAAAAAGAAAATCAAAGGCCAGCCTTCTGCCACTTGCCGCACCAGCATCCCAGATCAAGTGCCCATTCAAGTCCCAGCTGCTCCACTCCGCATCCAGCCTCTTGCTGATGCACCTGGGAAGGCAGCGGAAGATGGCCCTGCACCCACGTGGGAGACCAGGAGAGTCACAGGCTCTGTCTTGGCCTTGCTCAGCCTCCAGCTGTCGCGGCCACTGGGAGTGAATCTGTGGATGGAGGATCTGACTCTGCCCTTCAGGCCGGAGCCTGCTATTTCAGCAGTCCTCCATCGGGCGCGTCTTCTCACTGTTGATGGTGCAGACAGTGTTGCGTGTGTTTCACGTGGACAGCTATGTTGGAGGCTAGTTTGAAAGGCATAGAGAAAAAGATGGACACAGAGAGACTTCCATCTAGTCATTCATTTCCCAAATGTGTGGAAGGCGTATGGGCCAGGCTGAAGCCAGGAGCCTAGAGCTCATCTGGGGCTCCTGTGTGGGTGGCAGGGACATAAATACTTGGGTCATCTGCTGCTTCCCCAGGTGCACAGTAGCAGGAAGCTGGATTGGAATCAAAAGACTTGAATCTAGGTGCTACAGTTTGGGAGGCAGGTGTCCCACATGGCGTCTTACCCAAGGCACCGGACACTTACACACACACACACACACACACACACACGTTAGGAAGCCTTTTGTCCTGGAGGTACCAGTGTTGTTTTCGATTTGTTCTAGGATTTGCTTGTTTGGGGCAGATATATGCCTGTCCTTCATAGTCTGTCCCAGTGGGAGCTCCAGCTCCCCGAGTTCCTCTCCGCAAGTCAGCCGCCAGGCCTCCGGCAGGCATCTCTTGGATAGACATGGGGCGCCCTTCTCTGGCTCAGAGTGGCTATGACCAGCAGCATTCAGAGCCTTGCTCAGAGCTCTTGAGGGTTAGTGGCAGGCGGTCTTGGGTGAGAAATCTGGCTCCTGCCAAGACGTAGGTGGCCTAGGCCCAGGCTGGGTGTGTGTGTGCGTGTGCATGCGTGTGTGTACGCACACACACCCCTCCCATTTTCTGTGTTGAAGACTGAGTCCCTGGTAGTTTTAGGGAACCATGCTCTTAGCTGTCTTTGCCCTGATGAGCCTGTTTTGGATGGTAGAGCCCTAACAGCAGTGCTTACATGGGCAGGGATGGCTGTGAGGTAGGATGGCCGGAGTTGGAGCGCTGGACCCCTTTCCTTTTTCCTGAGGCCTTCCTGGTTTTGACCTCTCCTTTAGGAGTTTCTGCTTCTGTGATTTTACACCTGCTGGTTTGGAGATTGGTCTTGGTCTTACAGAGCCGTCTGCTACTTGCTCGGGTCTTCCTTTGACCCAAATGTGTCCCTCCTGCAGCTTCTCCCTCAATGCTGGAAGTCCAGATGGTGCTGCCGGCCTGCATTCCTGGGACCTAGGGTCTTGCAGAGCGTGATGCTGGGTTCTTCCCTTTGTCCCAGGTGCTCTTGGAGGGGAGGCCTAGTTTGAGCCAGGCCTTCCAGCTAGGCCCTTGTGGGGCATTGGTGGCCCGTAAGGTGTTAGCAGGTGTTGGAGCAAGGCCTCTTGCCCTCGTATGTCTTCCAGGCTGGGTAGCTAATGAAGCTCAATTGAAAGAAATTCCCAAAAGTGTCTGACTTGGGCTGGGCTGGCTGTGGCCCTGTGCTCAACTCTTAGGAGACTGTGTGCTTTTCCATGAGATAGATTCTTGTCCTGTATTACTTGAAAGAGTTAGAGAGAAAGAGGTCTTCCATCCACCAGTTCAGTTCCCAAATGACCGCAATGGTCAGAGCTGAGCTGATCCAACGCCAGGGAGCCATTTCCGTGTCTCCCACGTGGGTGCAGGGCCCCAAGGACTTGGGCCATCTTCTGCTTTCCCAGCACACAGCAGAGAGCTGGATCAGAAGTGGAGCAGCCGGGATCCAAACCTGCATCCACAGTGCTGGCGCCCCAGAGCTCAGTTTTAATCTGCACATTCAGCGTCTGAATCCTGTCCTGACGGCCAAAGCTAGCGACATTTCAGGGAGCCACACCTCACTCACCACCTAGTTGAAATGGCACCTGCCAAAAGCTTGGCCAGGCTCTTCCAGCCCCTCCCCCTGTCCCCAGCATGCTTGTTTTTGTTTGTTTTCCAGCATGCTGGTGTGGAGAGTGCTGCTTCCCTCCAGGCCCCAGCCACCTTCTCAACGGCAGCCACCTCCGCCTCGAGCACCACCACCTCAGGAGTCAGCCTGCCCAGCAGCATGAACGCAGCCAGCGGCCTCTGCCTGGGCGGGAGCACTGTGAGCACGCCCAGCAGCGCCAGGGCCGCGCCCTTGGTGACCTCAGGTACGTGCCGCGGGGTCCTTTCCTGTGCCCTTGCACCGCACTCTGAGCGCTTGGCTTGCAGGGAGTGGTCCCTGGGGCTGGCCGCAGAAGCATGGTGGCCAGCGTTCAGGCCCTCCATTGCCCGGCTTGCTGTTCCGGCAACCTCGGGCTGGACCCTTCACAGCCCTTGCGGGACAGTGGCTCTGTCTTCCGGGCGGGCTCCTCTTGGGCAGGAATGGGAGCAGCCTTCATGCTTCTGGCTCCCCACACTTTGTTGTCCTTGTTCAAACCCTGGAGCAGAGCTGACACAGTGATTTAGAGGCTCTTTCTGGCCCCCTCGAGTGATCCTCAGCCAGAGCCAGGCCGCCTGTGTGGCCGAGCAGACCGAAGCCCGCCTTCACATTGGTGACCCCTGCTGGCTTGCACGGCCCCCTGCTCCTGTCGTGGGGTCAGATTCTCCCCCTCGTGCTTGCGCTCAGTCCAGTGTGGCCATCAGGCGTTGTGAAGGAGGGTGCTTCCCTGGGCACGGAGCCCTCTGTGGCTGAAACATCCTGAAAACGCAGGCACACGCTTTGTGTCTGCTGGGGCCGCGCCCCGCCCGCCCCAGGCATCTCCCACCGCTGCCTGCGCCTGTCCAGAGGCGGGAGCTCAGTAACCTGTGCCTCCTCCCAGAGCAGCTCGCCCTGTGTCCGCCGCTTTACTCTTTGGTCTCCCTGCAGGCAAGCCACCCCCAAACTTACCCCAGGGGGTGCCGCCCCTGCTGCACAGCCAGTACCTCGTGGGCCCTGGAGGACTGCTTCCTGCCTACCCGGTGAGCCCACACGCTGCCCTGGTCCCAGCTCGCCAGGCTCCTGGGAGGGAGGTGTGAGGTGGGCAGGGGATGTCCACCTTGCCTTCAGTCAGCTCTGCCTGGTCCTCCATCTAACCTCCAAACAAGGTTTTCCCACGGCAGCTCATCCTAGTCCCGATCCTGGGCGGGGGCGTCCCATTCCCCTGCCCCTTATTTGGGTACCCAAATGGGCCTGGGTTCCTGACGTGCCCTTTCTGGTCCTCGCGCAGATCTATGGCTACGATGAGCTCCAGATGCTGCAGTCCCGGCTGCCAGTGGTGAGTGGAGCTGCGTGGCGGGGTCAGTGGGGATTCAGACGCACGCTGGCCCTGGCTGCTGCCCTGCCTGGCTCGGATCCTCGCCCAGCCCCACTGTGCTCCACCTTTGAGAAGCTAGTTGCTAGTGGGAGGTTTTGCCAAGGGCAAACCTGGCCTTGGCCATGCCCCGTTCTGAATGTAGGTCCATCCTCCCTCTCCTACTGATGGAAAAGCCACGTGACACAAGGAGGGGAGGCTGCTTACTTGGCCCTGGAATTTTTTCACGCCTCCCTCCCAGAGGATGTTGGGGTGAGGTGGCCTGGGGTCGCTCTTCTGCCCCAGCTGAGTGAGTGGCTGGAGCGGGCAGTCGTTAAGGAGTCTTTTGAGTCTTCCTGGTGGTTGTAGCCTCACTGTGATGTTGGGGTTCAGATTCTTCCTACCCACATGTGGTCCCGGGCCAGCCACAGCATCAGGACTGTGGAACAGAGGCATGGGAAGCAGGCCTGCTGACTGGTGGGACTTAGTCCTAGACAGCTGCTGTTTGCCAGGGAGGAGTTCCCACCCAGTGACATGCTACCTGCGCTTCCTCACTCTTCTGCCTCCGTGCATCCCGGTGGTCTTCGGGGTGGGGGCTGCTGGCATTTCCCGTAGAGGCCTCAGGGCGCTCCAGGCCCTCGGCCCTGCTGTACAGGAGGTGGCCGGGTGTTGACCCTGGGAGCTGCGTGGTGGGATGCCAGCCCCACATTCATGCCGCCTTTACTCACAGGACCCCTTTTCCTTTTGTCACGTGGTCCTTTAAAGCAAATCTGGCCAAGTCCGCCTTTCGAGATAATGCTCCCCTTTCCCTTGTCGGTTTTTTAAATCTCTGCTACCCTTGGGCCTGGTGATGGTCTTCAGAATGTTCCTATTTTCTGTGGAAGGGCGCCCCCTTCTGGGCTTCCTCCACAGTCCTGCCTCCCACTAAGGGTTGGAGGCTGAGGGTGCTGAGTGTGGCAAAGGCGAGTGGGAGCGTCGTTCGCTGCCGGGAAGCCTGTGTGACTGATGGGCCACTGTTGGCCACAGGTCCAGGACAGCCCAAGAGCTTCCTCTCGACCCCTGAGGAAAGAGCATGGGTCGTGGCAGGGCTCCTTCTTGATCTCCACTCTGCTGTATCTGCCATTGTCCCACATCCCCTCTGCAGTGCCAGCGTGGGCCCTCGCTTGGAGCCCTGCCTGTGCCTCCTTCTATACCCTTTAAGCACCTCCCTGCTGAATTTGCTGTTAGCTGCTCTTTTGAGTCTTACACATGAGGAGCCGGTGAAATTGGTTCAGCCTGCAGCACTCAGCAGCGGTACGAAGTGCACTCGTGCGATTGGGCCTCCGCCAGCTCTGCGCACACGCCAGTGGGCACCCGTGACTTGGCACTCTCTGTGCAGCCCGGCTGGGCGTGTGGCAAGGTCATTCGCTGACTGAGCCTCCCTGGTCTTTCCTAGGATTACTACGGAATTCCCTTTGCTGCCCCCACAGCCCTCGCCAGCCGAGACGGGAGTTTAGCTAATAATCCATATTCAGGTTAGTCGGCTCCATGGCTGAGCTGCGGGAAGTGGGGGGCCTGGTCTGTGTCTGACCCCTGCAGTCTGGAAATCAGCTGTGAAGGGCTGAGAGCGCTCGCAGCTGCCACACGTGAGCCGCAGCTAGCCCTGTTCTGGCGGCAGCTATCAGTCCTGCTCGCACCCCGGCGGGATAAGGGGCAGCGGACCGAGTCGGTGCTCCTTTCTCCTAGGTGATGTCACAAAGTTTGGCCGAGGTGACTCTGCATCCCCTGCGCCCCCCACCACGCTAGCTCAGCCCCAGCAGGGCCAGTCCCAGACCCACCACACAGCGCAGCAGCCTTTTCTGAATCCTGCGCTGCCGCCTGGCTACAGCTATACTGGCCTCCCCTACTACACGGGCGTGCCCAGTGCCTTCCAGTATGGGCCCACCATGTTTGTGAGTATTAGCCGGGTGCGCGATGAAGTCCGAAACTTGGGACCTCTATTCCAGTCACGAGGCGCATTAGTGGGGTGGCGTGGGCTGAGTTGGGAAGAGCCCTCAGGAACCATTTGGTCCAGGAGCGGCTAATTCCCCTTCTGTTTTAAGGTCTGGCATGTGTTAAACAAATGCAGACATGGGTCCCCCTGGATATGCTTGTCACCTGATGCCACGTGCTGAGGCAGAGGGGTCCTCATCTCGTTCCTACACTGACGCGTCCCCTGCTTGCTCCGCCAGGTCCCTCCAGCGTCGGCCAAGCAGCATGGTGTGAACCTCAGCACCCCCAGCACCCCCTTCCAGCAAGCTGGTGGTTATGGCCAGCACAGCTATGGCACAGGTGAAGGGAACTCTTGGCAGGGAGAGTCACAGGGCTTGGGGGACACGCTGGCTGGGCTCACAACATGCCTGGTGTTCTGTAACACTAGGTTACGACGACCTGGCCCAGGGGACAGCGGCGGGAGACTACACTAAGGCTGGCTATGGTGGATCACCGCAGGCTCCCAGCAAGTCTGCAGGTTCTGGGTCTGGCAAAGGTAGCGTTTGCCCCTCATTTCCAAGACCTGATGCCCTCACAGGCAGAGCTACCCCAAGACTTCCCCTGGAGGTGGGGGAGCCTGGAGCCGGCATGCAGTGCGGTGGGAAACCGCTGCTTTTCCTCCTAGGGGTCTCAGTGTCTTCAAGCACCACTGGCCTCCCCGATATGTCCGCTTCGGTGTACAACAAGACTCAGGTGAGGGAGGACGAAGGTGGGGAAGTAGCCGGTGGGAGGCACAGCCCACCCTGACTGTCACCGCTGTCTCCTTTGCACTACAGACGTTTGACAAGCAGGGATTTCATGCAGGGACCCCTCCACCTTTCAACCTGCCCTCAGCCTTAGGCTCCACCGGGCCCCTGGCCCCTGGGGCAGCCCCTGGCTATGCGCCCCCGCCTTTCCTGCACATCTTGCCGCCCCACCAGCAGCCTCACTCCCAGCTGCTGCACCACCACCTTCCGCAGGACGCCCAGGTGAGCCCTGATGGAGGCAGCCACCCCGCCCTGGGTCGTGGATTCTGTTCCAGCCTTGACAGCCTTCTCTCCTCTCCCTCCCTCCCCAGAGTGGCTCGGGTCAGCGCAGCCAGCCCAGCTCCCTGCAGCCCAAGTCTCAAGCCTCCAAACCCACCTACGGCAACTCTCCATACTGGACAAACTGAACCTGAAGATGGGTGGGCTGGGTAGGACTTCCCTACACGGAGCACTCCTCTGGGAGCCCAGTGCCCTGTCCTAGAACTCCTGAGACGTGTACCTGTCAGCCGGGCCTCTGGGGAGCCTGCTGCCCAGACTATTGTATGTAATGTATTTATGTATGTATTTGTAAATGTGATAGAACCTGGGAGAGCCATGCAGCTGCACAGCCCATTTTGCTCTCTCCTTCAAGCACCCGTCCTGCCTCATTTTGGCCTTCCACGTAGCTCCCCTGCCCAGTGGGGTGCTAGGGTAGCCAGGAAGGTCTGGTTCACTGCAGTTTGGGTTTCCAGGTCAGGTACCACCGAGGAATCACGACTGATCTCGCTCCCTTATAAGCCGCTGTCTCCCCCTGTCATCCTTCATAGCCCTGTCTTCGAGAAACTGGTCCTTTTTGTCATTGGTCTGCGTCCCCTTCTGCTGAACCTGTCCAACAAAAACCTGGGCAACCTGTCAGTCTTCATCTCGAGCAGGGGCTGCTGCATCGGGCCGGGTCTGGTCCCCAGACGCTCGCCTCTCTCTGGTTGACCACCTTAAAAGCAGTCTAAGCTGGGGCTCCAAGACATCGAGCCAGGCAGTTCCCCTTTAGAAATCAGAGAGACGCTTTCACCTCAACGAAAGCACGTCTCCAAGCAAAGGTTCCTAGTCCAGTTGTCCTAAGCCAGGGGTGACCGTTTCAGGGGTTTTATCTTGCCCAAACTCCACCTAATAAAATTCTGAGAGCATGCATGGTCTCTGTGTGGTGTTGACTGAGGGCGAAGGCAGACTGCACGTGGTTTGTGATCTCTCAACAGGCTGCAAGGGCTTGAATGTGTCCTCAGAGCTAACGCTAGAACAGACCTCACATTGATAGCGTGCTTTTCCGTAGGGCCCTGTCATCAGGAGTAAAAGAAGTTGTCTTTATCAACCAAGTACAATTGGCAGTCAGGGGCTGGATCGAACAGATAACTTGAGTCTGCATACTATAAATACCTGCTCGAGAAAGTTCCAACCAACCAATCTTCTGGGCAGGCCGGCCAGCCAGAGTGCGCTCTGTCAAGCAGGAGACAGATGCTCTCTGTCCTGACTCATGACTAGGGCCTTAGAAGTGTTGCTGAATCACCACTTCAGGCAAAATCAGCAAACAATATGAGTGCTTTAAGTGTTTCTCAAACCACTGTCAGAATCAGCCTTGGGGCCCACTCACTGCTACTAGTTTGTGGTAACACAGCTTAGGTTAGGACCTGCTCAGGACAAAGGGCACAGATGCTCACCAGCGAAGTGAGGGGAGGGACTTTATCCCACACTGACCTTCTGCCTACCCGTAATGGGCAGTAGAGATGACAACTGTGCTCTTGGTTCAGAATCCACTGTAGCAAATGGCCACGCCTTTCAGAACTGTCCCTAAAGCTGGTAAGGACTGGAGATGGCTATTTTTCAGGCAGGAAATGGGGGAGGTTACTGTAATTTTTCAGCCAAGTCCTGGGCAGCAGTGAAAATCTTGAAACCACCTTTTAATTTTAACACAGGGAAAAAATGAAGAGGGTCATCCCATGGGGAAGTAGCAATACAGGTATATTTTATTTCACATTTTATTAGTAGACAGATGGGCAGAAAAAGACAAAATAAACCACTAAAGGGGAAGTCAACACAAAATGCATCAGATAATCTTTTCTCATAAGTTAAACTGAAGAAAAAACATCTACAATTTCAGCTAAGAAAACTATTAAAGTCAAATGTTGTCCTGCTGGTTTCAGAGTTGAAAATTGCGTCTGGATCATTGTAGTTGTAAATGTAAACCTTGTTTATCAGGATGGGAGGGGTGGAGAGTTAATTTTCAGCACAGAACTATACATTTCCCCCTTCCAATGTCTTGCTATGCGTGCCCCAAACATAAGGAAACCAGCAAGTAAAGAAGCAATTGCCAGGGAAAGGAAGGAACTATAAAAACATGTGTCTAGTAGAAAAGAACTCCGGAATGATAAGAAAAAGAGGGGGAAGACTTTTGAGAAGCAGCAACGGAATCATGATATTGTGTTATGCTTTCTCCACCCGCCTCAGAAGACACGGAAATGAAGAGCATCCAGTGAGGCCTCAATGAGAACAAAAAATGCAGGACTTCGAGTTCATGTCACAGGAAATTCAGCACAGCTGTACTCGCCAAGGTTCCGGCTCCAGCCTGAGACCTCTACTTCCCTCCCCTCCCCCACCTAATTACTCAAGTATTTTTTGATAGAATGTACTCTCATGGACAGAACTCTGGAACCAGCGTCCGGGTTTTCTAAGTCCAGCTACACCATCAAAATGTCTACCTGTGGCAAGTCCAACATAGCCCGGGTCTCTGGAACTGATGGTACTTCTCATCAGAGGCTGACCCTGTCCTCAACACCTGAGGGGCCGTCAGAACAACTGCCACTTGGCTCTCTGGCTCCCTGAGTCAAAGTGCAACAGAGGCCAACAGGGCATGATGGGCCAGGACTGCGCAGCACAGCGCCTCCCACAACACCAAGGTGCCCAGCTGCCCTGGGTGAGAGATGCTCTAGCGGTAAAAATGAAAGGCTTTATTTTAGGGCCCCGAGAGACTAAGACCAAGCTCTTGGCTGTAAACTTGGGAAGGGCGTAGTAGGTGATTCAAAGAGCATCGTGAGAAGCTTTGGCTCCAGAATATTTGCAGGATATCTGGAAGTTGTGTGGGGATTAAAAAGCTAGTTCTGAACATCCTTCTATGATGAGTTTGTAGTCAGACAACCTAAGAGACTATTGCCACACTCAGTTGCTCTGTTCCCTGAATCTGATTTGAATTAGTAGACTCAGGAATATAAGGAGCAACCCTGACTCAGTAGAGATCATCCAGGTTCAATAGTGTCCCATTAGGACCTTAGCACGTCACACATTCCCATTTAAAACAGACCAAACTTGAGAGGCCAGAGAGAGCTCTGGGAAATAGCTATGTTTGGGAAAGATTGAAGAGCGAATGAAAACCCTGAGATCAGAAAGGAAGGAGGAGCTAAGGAAGTAAAGCATCGCCTACCCTGACCATTCTAGGATTCATCCTACCCCTGTCCCCAATCTGCCTTTTGGTTCTTTCTGAGCTATGATCTTTATAAAAAGATGACACTAATGCACAGGGATCTTAAGTGAAACTATAATCTTTGCTATATAGTTCTTTCCAAAAATCTGATTTTGTAGTACAGCATTCTTCCCCAAACAGTACTGCCCTCTTATGAACTGGCATACCCCCAGAACAAACAAAATTCACCTTCAAGTTCTGAAGTTCTTGGATTGGTGAAGGCTGTTGGATGTCAATTTTGATTGAAGCAGTGTATGATTGAGACCTGGGAAATCAAAGCTGAAGCAACTGTGTAGCAGGAAGGTGTCTCGGCCTCATGTGGCCTGGAAAATGCCTGCAGTCGATTCCCTTGGCCCTGACAGAAAAGCCTGGGGGAAGCTCCATGCATGGTTTCTGCTTGTATTTCACAGCCAAAGTACATTGAAAGGAGAAAAATTAAGTCCAGATCACGTCCAATGAAGAAAGTGAGAACCAGTCACTCATGTCTCACACATCCACATTTATCACTACCAGGATAAGCAGCTCAATGAAAACCAAAATCTTAACACATGCACCTAGGATTAATACTGAGTAATTAATTAAAAGTGGCTACTTAAAAACAAAACAAACCCCATGAGAGTGTACTGGAGGGAAGGCTTTGTTACATGTAAGACAGGGGTCTCCTCTCCCAACAGGGGGCACCAGTAGTGTTGACTTTTTCCCCAGCAGCATCGACCAACATTGGCATAGTGATTTTCTAATTGTTTCCATCACTAAAAATCCACACTCTCTAATCCCCACCTCCTCCCCACTCACCCCACCCCCTGGTGGGAAAAAAAATAACCCTGCCTTTAAAATAAATAGCAACCAAGTGCTCAGTTCTATGTAAAGTATGAATATTTATTTCAGGCTTTAGATCCCAATCAATTTCAAAAAACAAAATCTAGTTCCTTTCCTCAGAGTAGCTGAGGCCTCCATGTTAGGATGGTTTCAGGGAGGCTAAAGGAGCACATTTCATGAGATTCAGACTTAGCGTCAAGGCCCTGACACCACTGCATCCCAGCCTTAGGGAGGGAAAGAAACAAAATTCACCACCATGGGGCTGAACAAATGCGCACACACTAATGTAAATGCAGCTAAACCTTGGCAAATTTGTAAAGTTTGTTTTGTGGGTTTTTTTTTTTCCATTTTCTTTTGCTACCCAGTATATGCAGCATTTATGAACTCCAAATGGGTTCCCAGCTTAAAACACATTAAACATCTTGAAAGACTATTTAATTCTTCAAGAATCTAAAAACAGACCAAACGTGTTTTGCTGTGAACATTCTGCAGAGACGATGTGAGGTGGGAGTTTGGGTTGCTGTCATTAAAAAAAAAAAAAAAAGAAAAAGAAAAAAAGAATCAATACAGTGATGGAAGGGTAAAGAATGCAAGAATTCAGACATTCTGTGGAGGGTTATTTTCTCTCCATTAAAGGTCCATAAAAAGGAGCAAACTGAGATCCGTAAGGGGAGTCAGCAGGAGCTGTGTTTGTTTTCCCACCCCCTGTGAATAGGTTTTTGCTGAGGGGCCACTGCTAGGTCCCCACTTGCTCCCCTCCCTTTGGCCTGAGAAGGCAGGGCAGTACAGGGGCACTGAAGGAGCGCGTCACGATTCCTCATTTCCAGAATCATCATCATCATAACAGTCGGCATCTTCCTCCTCCTCATCTTCATCATCAATGTCATCGTCGTACAAGTCGTCATAAAGCAAATCTGAGCTGTTGTCATTGGAAGGCACTTTAGTTTTGATGCAATATTCCGCCAAGGTTGTGGGGACCTTCACTCCGTCCTTTTCTGCTTCGGCCTTAGTGGCTGAAACCTGTTTCCTGAAAAGAGGATGACACAGGAATTCTCTACGGTAAGGATCAGTTTTGAAGATGGATCCTAAGTTAAAGTTCCACTGGACTCTGCTTTCCAAATTTATCAGATGCCTAAATGCATCTGATAAATAAGATACCTTGTACTGCACACCAAAGGCTTTGCAGCAGGTGAGGATTCAAATATTTAGCACCTGACCACATGGGAGACCTGGATTAAGCTCCTGGATCCTGGCTTCAGTCTGGTCCAGCTCAGGCCATTATGGCCTTTAGGGAACTGAACCAGCAGATGGAAGAAGAATCTCTCTCAAATAAATAAGTAAGTAAATCTTTTAAAAAAAGGGGTGGGGGGAGTGCTGAGGTAAGTGAACACAGCAGAATTCGAAGCCTGGGATCTTGAACACTTGTTACCTAGGCAGAAGAAGATGCCCAAGTCCTTGGGCCCCTGCACCTACGTGAGATACCTGGAAGAAGCTCCTGGCTCCTGGCTCTGGATCAGTGCAGCTCCAGCCGGTGAGGCCAACTGGGGAGTGAGCCATCGGATAGAAGACCTGTGTGTGTGTGTGTGTGTAACTCTGACTTTCAAATAAATAGATCAATCTTTTAAAAAAAAGGAAAACTGAATTAAAAGGTATTTTAGTGCAAAAAAGTGTTTAAATCCATGCATAAAGGTCTTCAAAAAGTTCATTAAAAACGTGTAATTTAAAAAACTATGCAGACATTAAGTTTTCTGCACCAAACTAAACATCTTCAAATTCCATGTTCCCATGAACTTTTTGATGTCCCTACTATTAGTAATGCTGACAATGAGGACAACCACAGCATTGCTGCCATGGTTAAA